TCACAGAGTCTCGGGGTGGATTTTACCTCAGAGCTTTAGTTAAAATTAAATACAGATCAGTTACTTGAGAGGGAACTATTTTAGGATCAATTCATAGTGATGTAAGCTTTCTTGGAGGTCCCTTATAGAAACTTTCTAGTGAGGGCGTATTTCTTGGGCACCGATCTTCCGGGAACGAATTTGTCAGGTGTTTTCGCCGAAAAATCAACATGGAAACATAAAATTAGGTGCAAAAAATGAACAATGCAGCTATTCCAAGGTCGCTTTCTCTTAAGATTAATTCTTTGGGTTCAAGCTTATTAAGAAATTGAGGGGAAGATTTGAGGTACCTGCGAGCAGAACTTGAGAATACTAATAATACTTCTATAAGAGACCTTTAAATTCAGCTTTTTTAGTGCACTTTCACTTTCAAAAAATAAAAAGTTCACTTTTGCACACAAAAGCTCCGGAACTACACCACTTACAGACTTGGTATTACCTATTAGTGTCATTCGCTCAGAAATTAAGAATTATTTCATGTTTGTATTCTCGTTAAGGCATGAAATGGCCATAAGGGCTATTAAAATCGAATAAACATATTTGAAAGTGCACTCTTCGCCTGTTGCTCACAATTCAATAAAAATAATTTGCGTTCGTTCTGATTATTATTACATTTACATTACCAATATAAGACCAGCCCAAAATGCGAATAATACATAGATTTCCTTCATTTTAGTGATATTATTGAATTTAAGATGCTCAAATTAGCGTGAAAGTAGAAAATTCTGCAATGTAATGAAAAAGCTATTACTTCTTTTTCACGTACTAAAAATGACCTCGCGCTATAAGCCCGTGTACCTATTACCCGTGGCGAAGAAAAACTTTACGACTGACCACTGTCGGGCATTCTATTACCTTTCAGAAATAACATCTTCACGTTTTACGTTGCACTTGTGCGAAGAGGCGATTTTAGCATTAACAATCTCATTGAGAATCGTTTCAGTCAGGCCACAAGTTCATCTTCTTATGCGTATCCATTCGAAAAAACTATTTATGTAAATACACTCGCGAGCTTTTTATAAGCCATCGAACATCTTTCTGCCATACATACTAGAGGACATAAGGCGATTAATATTTATGACGTTCCAATTACGATGGTATACTTGGAATAACCGATTTAGTTTAAATTACAATAAAAACTTGCTCAATTGCGATGATTTTAAGTGAGGACGAACAGGATTCCAATTCATCTTTATTTCATGTAACTACAACAGAACCAAATGCCAAGCTGAATAATTTATTTTTTTGTTTAATACAATTATGTATCTGATGATTTAGTAGCTGTTTGGCGTATTGTAAAGCTTCCGATTAAGCTTCTTTTCTATTTAAAAAATTTTGCAAAACAGACATGTTTCCTTGTTGGGTGGCCACTTCTTTTATGACTTTGGATAGGCAACCAACGAAATGTTTATAATTAATCTATTTTGTCGTAATTACCGCACATAAACTTAAACTGTTTTTTCATTTCTCATTTCTCCCAAAATAATCGCTATATAATTATTTTCAAAAATTTACCGTGCCAATGTTCATAACATTGTTTTAACGAAGGCGTTCTTTTTAAATTCTATGATAATGATAATGATGCACACAGACAAACTGCTTGGCTGTCAAATCACTGTCAGTGTAGGTACAGCAAGTACGCTCCTCAATTTTTTATTTTCGACAATCAAGTGAAGTTAACGGAGATTGTCCCCTTCAAGGTGGAAATGGGGCAATATTTATACATGAAAGAATGACGGAGGTGAACAGTACTAACGGCTCATCTCATTTTGAGGTAAAATATTCCTGGAAAGAATTTCGATGGGATCGACACTCGATTCAGGACAGACCCAAGATCAGAAAGTCCGGTTGAGTTAAGAACTGAGGAAACCATAAACAAGAATCAATGCAGTGGATTCATCGGGGTTCTGAAACAAAAGGCAAAAACTCAATCTTGATCAGGAAATTATGGCGACCAGTTTTTGTGACTGCGAGGGCGTTTTTCTTATCGATTACGTGGCACGAGGGGCAAGGACTAATGGTGATGTTTATGGAAGCACGTTTGAACAAGGCTCTTAAAGCAAAACGGCAGAATACATGGTGAACAAAAACTGCGCTGTTGCACGACAAGTGCACAAGGTTTGCCATGTGGTTTCATAGCATTATCGCATCCTCTCTACAGGTCATATTTAGTACCATTAGACCTCTGTACTTTAACGGACACGTTTTTTAGCTGTTGCCGAAGCTGTCAAGGGAAAAATATTCGTTTACTCAACTCCTTTTTCTTACTAACATATCCAAATGGCTCCCTATACAGTGCCTCCTAAACAAGACACTAAAAGTCTCTAAACACTATTAAAGAACGAAAAAGACTCGTGAATGCTATTGGAACACCTTGGATGCTCTTGAAAACCCAATAGTCCCAAGGGTTATTATTAAAGATCCTTTAAGCTCATTAAATCTCTTGAAAACATTTAAAGATTCTTAAGAATATTTATAAAACCTCTTAAAGACAGTTCTGTAACCGATTAGTTACATGTACAAAGGTCGAAGACCTCGCTTGTATAAAATTGAACCCTTACGGCACTGGCAAACAATTTTAAGTTGACAATTAATTTTTAATTAACCCACGGCTAGCTCAGTAATAAAAAAATTGCTGTGACTAACACAGATACCACCCGCGGACCTGTGCCTGCGCGTTCTACCCAAAAGCTACCAAATTTGGTTCCAAGCGGTTCAGCCGTTTGCCGGAAATGAGAGTACAGACGGACCGACGGACCAACATCATCGAGGTTTTGTAAGACTGATATATTGTTTCATCGTGGTTTTGTATGATTCGGATTCCTGGTGCTTCAGAAAAGTGTATTTCAGTCAAAAAGGTGGGGGGTCATTCTTTACCCAAATGCATTCGCTATTTCGTGATTACGTGTTCATACTATACTTGATGCTCATCTAAACCTGCTCTTTTTACACATGATAAACTGTTAGTTCATTCTCCTGCTCAAAATATACACACCTCTGACAGTTATACAAAATTGTAATGCAACAAAGAAATGGGATAACTGAAATTAAATCCAATTTTCCAATCAATAATACCAAATATTATTTTGTTTGGACTCGATTCTTACTCATAAACACAAATCTGATCATGTAAATGATTCTCACAGGTCGATGCCTTTAGGAATATTAAAATTACATCGCGAAAGTACTCGAGATCGTGATTACGCACAGAAATAATAATCTAATGTTCCGCTATGTTGATATTAATTTTACCCAATTTATTAACTAGGTCCTGCTGCGCCGATTAATTGTCATTCCCTGCCTTATGCCGTTGTATACAAAATTTTAGCGCAAACGCGCTGTCCAATGACGTCACTCGAATTTAAAGAACTTGCTTTTAACCAGCCGTTACTATTAGCGATCCGAAAAAAACTTCTTTATATATCACAATGTGTTTAATGTAAGTTTATTTGATCCTGTTTTCTTATTTGAAAAGCGCTTCTGCGACACGGAAACGTTCCTTCGCGTATATTTTACCACTCGTAAGTAAATGGCCTTGCTACGAATCGGGCTTCTGAAAGGTTTTCTTCGTGTCGGAATTTACTGTCATTCTCGCTGCTTAATCTGTTTTTACCCGAAATGCTAATTATTTAATACTACGCGAATAAATTTCCAGATTTTCAATTGCATATCCTCACACATACGTGAGGATATTTCTCGGAACGCCGCTAACAGTGTCAACACACCGGTGTTAGTACGTGGTTGCTCTTGATGCAAATCTTTCGTTTTAACTTGAAATAAACCAAAAATAATAATGCTTAGCGTACCCAAGTCGGTACGTGCTGACTCGCGCAAATCAGCTTAGAGATCAAATTTTTAGTTTAACAATGATTCTTTTCTACTTCTATCGTTATTTGAAAGTCGCGCATTAGAAAAACCGAAACGGGCCTTCCTTTCTGAACTCAATGACCTCGACTGGCGTGCTCTAACAACAATAGAAAACCCGCATTTCGGATTTTTCAGCCGGCTCAAATGGACCGAATGCAACTTTTAGGTCCGAGCAGATCGTGGTAACTGCGATCGCTTTCTCCAATACGTTTCTTATCGTATCACCAGACATAGTTCATAGTTCACGTTCGCTATGAAGCGGTATATGTGTGTTCCTATGTTGAACAAAATACAAAGCGGCCACTTGTTACAGCTTCTGCCTGACATTACTGGTGACTCTTGCCGACTTTCTTACAAACAATCTTAAAGCTCAAATCTTGAAGATTCTTCGACACTAAAAACCTGGTAAAGATTCTATGCTTTTATTGGCTTGCCTTTAAAACTGTACAAAATTCATATTTAACCACTTAAAGGCTCTTAAGGTCACGAATGCTACGAATTTTCTTTGTTGAAAAGGAAAAGAAAACTGTTGCCCTGAAATGGCGACCTACCACAGCACCCAATGTACCTGATATGTACCAATCATCTCTGCAGAAAACCAGGAAATTAATCGGCACATGCAATTCGTGCAATTTGTGAAGGAAATAGCAAAATTGAGATGGAAAAGATCCCTAAAATCGTTATATTTAAAGTGATGGAGGGATACCAATCCCCAAACCGCTTGACAATTAAAATGTGGAACTTTAAAAAAAGTTTTAAGCGTGCTTAGGATTACCGATAAGCGGCACGGACTTGAGAACTCCATAAAATTACTTAAAAACACGAAACCACATCCTAACTTAACAGTACGGTTCCAGAAATAAAAATTGCTTCCTGCACATTCCTCACCAAGAACCTTAGATATAGTCTATAAATTTAGACCGTCAACTCCAAAACATGCGTATTCCTAGATTGTTGTTGTTTGGTTAAACCAGTTCATTAGTATCCTCTTACGACATGCAGTGTCTCTGCATTTGACAAAACGAACATAATTTTAAAATTAACGAAAATTGTTCATTGTGAACGGCAACTAAAAATTTGATTTGCATTTTCAGGACAAGCGGGAGTAAATCAACTGGGAGGTGTATTCGTCAACGGGAGACCGCTACCAGACTGCGTAAGAAGACGAATCGTGGAACTTGCCTTGCTTGGAGTACGTCCGTGTGATATATCTCGACAACTTTTAGTATCTCACGGTTGCGTTTCGAAAATTTTAACACGTTTTTACGAGACTGGTTCTATAAGGCCAGGATCTATCGGCGGATCTAAAACAAAGGTGAGTGTAAGAGAAAGTGAATGTGAAACAATTTCAGATATTAATATCTACCTTATTTTGCGCTATATTACCGGTAACTCAAAGTGAAGATCTAACACCGAATAATTAGTGACATTTGCCTCCAATAAAATTTGATTGCTACCGTCGATAATTATACAGGCCATAAAATGTTATGTTGGTATTGTAAATATGATCTTACAGAGTGGTGTCAATTATTTGCACCTACCGGGTGAACCGTGTGAATTTCGACGCCTGCTGCGGTCATTTTCCTCGCTAGCACCATGAATAAAAACCGTAATCACGTCTATGTAAAGAGAAGTGTTTGTTAATGTACTCATGAAGCTTATTAATATTTTTAATTCAGTCGATATGCACTCTAGATTAAGGGTATCCCATACAAATATTGGTTGATAAACATAGCGTCGCTAATAAAAAAAACTGACTGAATGTAAAACAAGTTACCACAAAATATCTACTAATTTTTCAAACCATTCCATAACTTTAAAGGGTTGAGATCAAAGAATTCTGCCAAACAACTTATAGAGACATTTTGTCATTTTCGTCATCATCAATATGAACTTCTTGACTGCAGGAAGACCAAAAGTTGTATTTCTATGTTTTCTCACTTTGAACCATTAATATATATCTTTTGTACAACTTCCCCCTAAAAATGAGGTCGTAACGTACAATTTAGAGGCATGATATAGTACCCATTACCTACACCCATGCGTAATGAACCATGTATAAATTGAGCACAACTTGTGTGTAGATAAAACACATTTTTTTAAACCAGAATATAATAGCTTTGTAAATGGTTAGGTTATAGGGTAGTAGCATGCTATTATTGATGTTTTCTTTCTTGGTAGGTGATTCATGGGGAGACTTCACCAATAGATATGTCTCGTTCAAACAATTCATTTTACCTTTGTGGGTACTTTCCTCTGATAAGGCGTTTCCGAGATATTCACTCGTAAAATTGTGACATCACGAATAGATATATTTCTTCCAGACCTTCCAATCGCCCTTTGTGAGTACCATCCTCCGACAATCTGTTCTTGAGATAGGGGAGGAATTATTTATATCCAATCACGATAAGAGGCTAAGGAGGAGGACTATGGTATGTAGAAATTAATTCCTTTCGTTGAGAGCTTTTAGTAGAGTACCATGAAGGATAAAACCAGTTACCCCCCCCCCCCCCCTTTTAATTCTTAAAAAAATGCGCTACAAAATGAAACTGTTTGTACTACAGCGCCCCCAAAATGGAGAAATGAACAATTTTTTCGGATGGTGACAGGTGAAAAGGTTAAGGTTCTTATTAGAAAAACTTCCAGAACACTTGAAGGGCTATTTTGAATTATATTCAAACCATTTTTGGGTTAAATTTCTGAGTTTCAGGTAGCCTCACGAAATTTCAAAGTTTCTCTAATAATGTTTTATATGGCGACTTATAACAAGATAGCTGGAGGATTCTTATTTACCAAGAAGTACAAACAAATTGTCATCTGGAGGGTTGGTGTCTTGATACATGTTTTGGAAAACCCTCAAGAGGCCTATAACTTTCCGGGGGCTTTTTCGAGTTCTTAACTGCCAAAAGAAAATTCTTGGCAATGTTTGGTAAAATTTTTTAGTTCTCATTAGGGTTCCCGGTAGCCTCTCAAGAGTTATTTAATAAGAAAAAGAAGATTTTTACTTTTGCCACTAAGAATTACTCGTACAAAACAGATTTTCTTGTGAAACGTTGGAGTTTTTATTAGAATCCTGGACAGCCCTTCCACGTTCTAAAATGTTCTCAAGGGGAGTTTTCTGATGAACCTCATTATAAATAACAAGTAACAGGTCAATACGTCAAGATTTGAAAAAGGTTGTTACGTGCACAAAAATATTAAATGGTCTGAAAATGTTACAAAAGATAAACAAATATCGAAATAGGCTTCTACAACAACTAACGAATCTATAATGGATAAATGACTATCCAAATAAAAATATTAATAACAATTTAGATGTATCGAAAGCTAGTATGCACAAACGTTATCTCACGGAGTATTGACGAAATTAAAATATTTCACCTTTGAATCTCTTTTCCGAGCTCAGAAAGGTGCTGTCTGCCAATAATGTGCAATCGGATAAAATACAAAAAACAAAAAGAGTGAGAGGGTGTGAAAACCACGCCATATAAATTGCGAGAATAAAATAAACGTTTGACACGTCGATTAACTCACCTACTAGGAATTGTAATTAACACTTAACGACAAATAATAATCCAAGTTAGGGTAGAAAGTAAAAGCAAAATTTTGAACGACACGAGTTGTCGGTATAAACGGAAATTCACAAAAATAATCGTTAGCGTTATCTAAAATAATCATAAAACTACTTCCTAAGCAAAAATAACTAAATTTCTATACAGCAAAAGTAAACTGATAGATTTGAAACTTAAGGTGCTGCTACAAGGATTTAAAATTTGATATTGATTCAAAGCAGAACACATTTTCGGTGTAAAATACTTGTGAAAGCAAAGAGCCGCAGGTTTCTATGACAAGTAGATTCTTTACGTGTAATTTGGTCATAGCTCGTGCACGGCCTACACGTAGAAAGTGTCTAATTATGTCCTAAGTAAATAAGATTACTATTATAGATTCCTGCATTAATATTTCACATATAATCGGCCAGTACACGAAGGGAGGAACTTAACCCACCTTCGCATTCATATTTATATTTACAATGAGAAAAAGAACTTTTATTACCATCTCAATAATTTCCAGTCCAAAGGAACACTATGATAGTATCAACCTAATTAGATACTCACGCTCCCTCGGAGTTTATTAAGAACAATAAAACCGTACGTTTCAAAACGATTGTTTAACGAAACGGGTAAAAAAGAAGATTCGTGTCAAACATAAACGACCATTTTCTAATAATTCATTTACTTTTGATGACCCCCAGTTAACGGGGGAAATTGATCTAGATAGTCGTATTAGAAGTGTGCATGACTATGAAAAATTTATGGCCTATTCGAGTACGTTGCGGGTAGTATGATTATCTATAAACGCGTTATAAGATAGTAGACAAATATACTTCGAGTAAATTGTACAAATGTTCATTAATTTGTAGCTTGAATTTAACGAAAAAAACATTTCAAGCGAAAAATATCAATTTTTTTTCTTTACTACAGAATTACACTAATGTCTACAATGCTTGTAATGCCAATTTTCCACAATATAAATTCTTTGCGTTTTTGCACTGTATGAAATACAGCTTAAAGTTATCTTGATGCTCTAATAACTTCGAAGTAAATAAACGTTATCACTGTGGTGGATCATTTAAAGTTCGTATAATTCATTTCACGTGATCTTGGGATTATTATTCGTGTATAACATAAGCTTAAAGTGATGAGGAGATGATAAAAGGGGTAGTTGGTCAACTGTATATTATGAAAGGGTTGTAATATAACTTAAACACGCGCTCAACCTTTTGTTTTTGTGTCAGAATTGTTATTTAAATCCTTTAACACTTTTTTAGATAAACGTGTTAAGGAAAGTTTCATAATCCCGAAATCTTCATGCAAATTCAAATTTTTAGGAGAACTAAACACAATTTTAAATGCATGGTCGCTTTCAACCAGTTCTGCTTTTTTGTTCATAATTTCCGGTGACGGACTACTATCCACAATTTTTCAATAAATACCGGAGGAACAGTTGAAATGAATTTGGTCGAAGGATTCATCAAATGTGACAAACACATCATACTTCCTGGAAAGATTGCGTCACATCCGCCTTGGTTCTTGATCACCAATGACTAATGGCGACTCGATGTCTATCGGGATTTTTGAAATATGAACTATTAAGACAACAACGCGCTATAGAAATCAGAGACGATTGTTAATTCCACCACTTGTTTACAGATTTACGATAGCTAAATTAATAAAAGAGTCCCACGTACAAATGAAATATACCAGGTTGCATTTTCCATGAATCGCGATGCTCTCATGCTAATTCTGCGATTTAAATACCAAAAACCAATTAAAATAACAATTTTAGGCCCTGTTACGCCGACATTTTGGAGCCACACTTTCTAAAGCTATTAAGAGAACAACGCGCAATAGAAATCAAAGACACAGACTTTCTAAATTTTTTCATGTTACTCAAATGCTTTCGGGCAAATAGAATAATGTTTGAGTGCTCTTAACAAACCTGATTTTAGAATTTTTTTTACTATAGGGAATCAAAAAAAAGGTAAATAGGAACACCTTAATTAATTAATCAAAGTCATACACAATTAAGATGGTTTCGCTAAAATGTGAAGGTCCATAATTTAAAGTTCATTTGAAAATTCCTGACCCAAGATTAAAGGTTTAAAATTTGAAGCCTCGCTTTTAACACTTTAGCACTTAAGCTGAAAGTTTTCTGTTATTCTGATGAGTGAATGTAAGGACCCTAAAGCTATGATTTGTGCTCTGGTAGATGTATAAAGAGTTCTAGAAACATAGTCAGTTCTAAACAGGACGTGAAAAGCTCTAACAACGCGATAGAAGGGCTCTGTAAAGGCGGTACATAATCTGATTCTCCTCTAATGTTTTGGGGAGCCTCAATTCAGAGGCCGCCTTGTTTTATTTTTAATTATTTTAATATTATTCAAAAGTTTTTTGGGCGAGTCTGTCACAGCCTTCTGTCGCTTCCTAGCCCAAATAAAATATCGGTTCCGGTTCTGTTTATATTTAAGCGAAAATATTTATAACGGCTCCGGTCCGATTTCGGTTTAAAAAAAATAACGTTTCGGTTCTGCGCATTTTTTTCGGTCCATAACGGTTCTTTTCGGTTCTAGTCTTTTAGAAAGTATGGGATTAAAAAAAACATTATAAAAACGTGATTTGTTAATGTGAAAAAGAAGTAAAAAGTCATGAACGTATCGTTAGTGTAAGTAATTTACAACAAGGGGTATAAATGGGGAAGAGGGAAATATGTATTTAAACTTGATTTAATAATTTAAAAAATCCGAAAAAATACACAAAATCATGTGTAAAAATGTATTGTTTTCTATTTTTATTTTCTAAAACCTCGCCCCCCCCCCCTTTTATTATTTACATTTACAGTAGTGGCTAAATTACCGCCACCGCCACTGGCAATGCCTTCAATTTAGACACCTTATTAAAAATTTATAATGCACCGATGGCGTAATATTTTATCAGTTTTCAGGACGTGTTTGCCGGCGCGTCTTTCAACTTCCAATAACCTGTTAAGAACCGTAAAAGATCCGAAAAGGACCAACAAAAATAACAAGGGTTCCGGTTCTCAATACATCTCCTCTGAAGGAATAACAGTTTTGGTTCGGTTTTCGGTCCCGGTTTCGGTCCGGTTATCGGTTATTCACTTAGTCGTAATAGCTAAGGCACGTCAAATATTATAAATTAGAGTAAAATCCATCATATTGAAAACATGTTGACTAAACATAATTGGCTGATCACTTGAAAACGATTTGCAAATATTCAAAATTGTATAAGTTGAAGGCAAAATATGCTAATAATTAACGATTTTTGTCGAATATAAGCTCTGGACTAATTACGTGGTGCCAAAGAAAAATATTACACTCCAATCAATCTTCAATAAACAACATTGTTGACAAGAGATGTTGCTGCGATAGTGCTGGTAGCTACATGCGACAATCATTATCAACCGTTCGAAATTACCCTATCTACATACCGCATGACATCAATTTATCAGTAAATAAACCCTGCCCTACTAAAGTCGATCAGAAACCCATTAGATACCAGACAACAATATTTGCTAGCAAATTTGAGATAGTGACAAAATAAGGTGAATTATCTGTTCTTGTTTTACTTATTACAGCAAGTAGCGACGCCGACGGTTGTGAAAAAGATCTTAAAATTCAAGCAAGAGAATCCTGGAATGTTCGCGTGGGAAATTCGGGAGCAGCTCGTCGCTCAAAGGGTATGCGAACCGCATAGCATTCCGTCAGTCAGTTCCGTTAATCGGATCCTTCGGAACAGTGGAGCGTGGCCCGATCCTCCGGAGCTTCTTCATCATTCCCGATCGGCACATCCAGGTAAACATCTCTTTCGCCCGAATTTACGCAGGTGATATCAGCGATCAGTAAATTGCGAAGCAATTGTCAATTAGGGGTTAATCAACATCAAACTCTTTTATGTTGTTATAAATTTTCACTGCGAAACCTAAAGTGTACCTTTAAATTTTAATTAACGTTGCCGATTTTTATAATTAAGATGTTTGGGTAAAGGTGCATCAAAAAGGCAGCCATTTGAATTATTAGAGTAATAAATTTTACACAATCCTCAACAGCTTTTAATAACGCAGGACATGTAGGTAGCGTGTTTTCGTTTTAATGGATTTGAAAAGAAAGTCTGTTAAATTAAAGCTGTCAGTAAACTACCCTGTTAATGGCCGAAATTGTTTCATTGCAAGGAGTATGCCTTTCTAATTAGGGATAAGCAGGCAAGGCGGTTGACACGTTTATGTATAGGTCCATTGCCTTTGAATTTAAAAGAAAGCGTGTTATACAAAAATTATTATTGGATGTTGCATTTTTTGAGAACGATCTTTAGTAAGCTTGTGCTGATGGTGATTTGAGATCCATGAGTTGTTGTCTTTTCTCTCAAATGAAATGAGCTGAACGTTTTCCCTGGTGATAAATCAGTTTAGGGATTAGCATAGTCGGTTTTACCTTCAAGATTTCTTCTTCGTGCCATTTCTTCAAATTTGAGCCCTTCACTTCCATGCAACCGTTTCATCGAATTCTCAAGAACTTTTGAGATTTCTATAATTCTTTGGGTTCTTCCGACTCTTCACATTTCTTTGATCAATAAAATTTTTTAGGTTTCTCCGGTTCGTGGAATTTTTACGATTCTTCAGATACATGAAATCCATATAATAGCTTAAATTCGTAAGGTTTTTCGGATTCTTTTGTTTTTTCGAATCCTCTCGATTCTTAAGATCAGCTTGAAATTATGTTGGTATCTTCCGATTCCGTTATTCGGGCGATTCGGCTTAACCAATTCTGTCAATTCCTTTTATTCTTCTTCACAATAATTCCAAGAGCCCAATTCTACAATATCAGGATCTATTTCTATTTTAAGGGGCCCAATGACCATAGAATGGCTCAAAGGATGTAGATCTTCTGTAGCCACTGTGAGAGGGTCATTTATTGTGGTAGTAACACTGACCATCCTCGTCTGATTATAATCCAGCTTTGATCTCCCTATTATCCTCTTGAGCTCTAAGCGAATTAATCTTTCCCAATAACCCCAAACCAAGGAGATGCCGGTGGAATGAAAGTCTTTTGTATCTGTCAATCAATCGATACTGTTAAACCAATTAGCCGCTTCCTCAAAATTTGTTCCGTTGTCTGAGAAAATTGTATTTGGCTCTCCATTTGGAAATGAACCTTTCCAAGGTTTTCACAAATTCTTCCGTAGACAGACTGCATACCAGATCCAAATCTACACAGCGATAAACTGTACAAGTTAACAACACAATCCAGGTTTTTCCTTCCCTCAAATAAATGGGCCCTGTAGAATCTACCCAAGTGGTGGTAAACGGGTTCCCATCCGATATCCCTTCCTTTAGTAAGGGAACTGGGTCCACTTTTACTGGTTTGTAGTACTGTGACAAAGGCATGTTTTGCAGTTCCGTTCAGTTTTGACACTCGCCTCCTGAAGGTGATTATCCAGTGCTTTTCTCTCAACTTTTCACGAATGAAGTTTTATTTTATTTTGCCTTTATTTTTGAGTGGGCGGGGTTTCAGGCAAGGCTGCTCTACCAATCCAACCCACTATACATTTACAAATATCCATGTCCGAACCCGGATTCGAACCAGGGACCCTTAGCACCACAGTCCAGCTTTAACTGAACACACGGGTCGGCAACTGCGCCATACGGGACTCTACCGAGTCCATGATACAGATGAATTAGAACTGCGACAAGTGAGTGACTTTTTGATAACAAGATGTGGGAGATAATATCCAAAGTCAGGTTTCCACCCGAATCAGTCCTTGGGAGCCACGCTTTACATTCAAACGTTCCGCTTTATCTTACATCGGGGAAATCTTGCACTTACAATTTCACTGGTCGTAACTGACAAATTGATAAAGAAGGCGATCCTTTCTCTTGTTTGGAAATAGTAAGATCCAACCGTAGATCGCAAGAGTCCTTCGATAAGACGACGATTCCAGCATCATCTGATTTTCTGGGCTTATCCCAAGGTTGCATGCTGATTTATTGCTTCCATCTTCAACTTCTTCTTCGTTATAATTGGGGAACAGAGACTGCCACCTATTAAAAGGTTGGTACAACCACTCAGGACCTTCCACCATCTGAATCCAATAAATTGATGAGAGGTGCATCCTCTTGAAGGCAAGTCTGCAGGATTCAGATTACCGGCGATATGTCTCAATTGCACACGTCCAGTTAATTTAAGTATTTCTTTCACGCGATTATAAACAAATACTCCCCAATCCCCATTTCTTAGTACCCAAGCGAGGGCAACTGAAAAATCAATCTAGAAGTGAGTGGGACTGTCTTCATATCCGAAGGTTTGCTTCACTCGAACTATCGAATACTTATCGTACTTTTCGAGTGGCGACAGCTTTCCTCCAAAGCTTGAAATTCGTTTCCAATCTTTACAACATTTCTTTGTTGCGGTGCTCCGATAGTTATATACATGCATTCCGGTGTCTCCAATTATCCGAACTAAGACTGCTTTCCCGGTTTTATCAATATTAACTTTCGAGGTATTTGAGGGGATACTGAGAGGTGCCCTGATACACATTCTTCTGTACTATTCAATTTCAGAAGATTCTCTCGTTTTCAAACGAAGTATCGAGAAGAGAGTTCGTCAAACGCTTGTGACTAGAATGATAACGGGATTGGTAGTATAGAAAAAAACTATTTGGAACAAAACAAAAATTGGCCAATACACTTGGCAAGGCAAGTATGTACTCAAAAATACTTCAAAGCATTTTTAACTCGGTATGTTTTGAGTCTCAATCTACTTTTTCTTGTAAACGAAAATATTGTAGAACAAAAGACTAAAACTTCCATTCAAGTCGACGCTGGAACTTCACGTATTTTGAATTATCATTTATCTTATATGTTGTAACCCCAATTGGACACTAAAGTAGATATGGCTTCTTTTACTTATATTGTTTACTAATGAACGTGTCTTTGTTCTCAGAAGCAGTAATGGTAAACGACATATACACAAAACAAGTATCCGCGCTCAACTCTCGACTGTCATACTTTCCATCTCTATCAGATCCATCCTACACCAGCAATCGTTTAGCAGCCCTCCAACAGCAACTCCACGTGTCGACAAACTCAAATACGTTCGACCAGCACTCGACGAGCTCGTGGACTTCCCTAGTCGTACCCTACCACTCTTCGACGTCAGGAAACGTACCACACATGTCCACCAGCGAAGAAAACACAAGACCTTCAGACCATCCGAAGCCGCTAGTGAAAAAGAGAAATCCGTATTCAATAGAGGAACTGTTGAAGAAGCCCGACAAAAAAGAAAAGACTTTTAAAGATGTTTTCCTGTGTAGCACCATTCACCAACCGTTCGGTGCTATCATACAAAATGACGTTCAGTGTGAAGATAAAAGTACGATATCTCACGAAACGTTGGATCTATAACTTTGTATCTCAATTATTTATTTTATTTAATTAAGTTATTTAAATGTGAATATAGGAAACTTGAAATGCCATAATTTGATGTTACTTAATTATAGTGTACATACTGTAGCTAATTAAAGTCGTAACTTATTGAGAGTGGCTTATTGCTTAAAGTGAACTGAGGTACTGTCACTATACCATTGTACGGGGTGTCAATTTTAAAACTTGCAGTCGGCCATATTTTCCAAACTAAAGAAGATATTGAAAATCGCGAAAAACCGTTTCTGGGGTATCGAGGGGGAATCAGAATGACGTTATGAGTGACAACCCCCCACCACCCTTAACCTCCCACCCTACTCTTCAAAAATCGTAAATGGCAACCCCATACTTGTGACACATCGATGGAAAGCTACTGAAAAATGCTTTCCAGTGGTACCAATAAAGTCAATATTCATTAAAGACAATTTAAGAAAAATTAATAATTAACAAAAAAATTATTACGCACAAATTGTGAATGAGTTTGCAGTTATTATTGTTATTATAAACAGGGTGGGTACTTTAGGGGCGGATTTGTTTACTTGTTATAGATAGTAATGTTTTCGCATGTACCTATACTCTGTTTCATTCCGAATGCTAGCATGTCTACACTACAGGGTGGATTTTATTATTTGCTATAGGAAGGTTGAGTACAGGGTGTAAAGAAGTGTAAAGAATAGTTACGGTATACCTACTGTAGATTTCGATTCGTAGCTAGAGTGGAACTTTTCCCCAAGTGTAGGTTACGTTTCATTTCATATTAATGTACCGGGTGTTGATATAAGTTGGAGACCTTGTAGATGTTGAGTTGTAGCATTTTATATTTAACTTACAGAAGGGCGGCTTTGAATTCAATTCAATTCAATTAATTATGATTTTTGTTGTTGGCCTGTACGATGGGTCCAAGGTTTCTGATTGTTGTAGGCCCCTGATCCCTATGTTCAAAAATGTTCGGAGCTCGGAGATGACGATTTGGTACAGATTTTGTATACTAGTCTAGTGACGTATACTTTCAAGTTCATCACTATGCCGAAGGCTTTTTGAGGCGCTGATATGCATATTAAGGGGTAGATAAAAACTGCAGCTATTCTAGACAATAAAAGGAATATACTGAGCATGTGTGAGATTGTAATATCCATAAGAAAAAATGTAATATTGCAGCCAGAAGGTAAACCTCACTCTGGTGGTTACAAAGCTACCGTAACTATTCTGGAAATGAAGAACCTCTTCTGGAATCGTCTACGTATATTTGCGAACTACGCGGCCACAATTTTCCTACCTAGATTCCCACCTTGAACATTTTGCTCGTAATGATGAGACATATTGAAAGTGTTCGGCATCCTGCTTTCTAAGGTGTAGAAAATGCGCCTTGGTGTACCCTAACAAAATTGGCCACAGGTGATCAAAATGCAAAAAGTAGATAATTTAGTTCATGTGCATCAAGATGGCGTCTTTTGCCATTTTCCTAACGAAACTGATGTATAAATAAATTAAACAAATATAGCAAACGAGTTCCTGGGTATGACTTGGATTGGCATTACGTATTATATGGCTAAATCTATGCTCATTTTGAATTTCATGCAATTCGGTTCATAACTAAGGGAGATGTCAAAAGGGCCTTCCTTATTTTTTGGCTTACATTCCAAATTCACGAACTCCGATCTCCAAGTTTGATAAAGAATCCACCTGCAAAATTTTATCGTAATCGGTCCATTTATTTTTGAGATATCGTGCTAACGGACGGACGGACGGACAGGCGGACAGACACCGGAAAATTATAAACTCGCGAGGAGCTCGTTAATAAAGATTTTAAGATTGCCCAAAAAGTGAGGCAACCACAAAAAGTACGAGAGTAAAGTTTTTCCCACTCCTCCCTCGTCGTGCGGGCACTCGTTATAACCGCCGCTCCTCAACACTCACATCTTTTGTGTAATAATACAAATTTGTGTGCACCCTTTAAAACAGTGAACAGCCTTGCATTTGTGAAATATGTTTTCAAAAATCTCTTGCAAGTATGTAAATTCACAAAAAAGTGAAAACATTCGGCTTTCCGAAAATATTAGGGATTCCTGCATTTTCTAAGCAGCGTTCCATTCGGCTCCAAAATTATGTGTATCTCTTATGATTTACGAGATCCCAATGGACTCACTCCAAATTGGGTACCTCACTACTTTGGATAGGAATGTTATGAGGCCGCATGGTTTGTTGCACAGCACTCTACAGCACTGTTCAAAATATTTACCTACAAATGGAAAAGGAAATTCACCATGGAAAAGCTGCCACGTAGTTTTATATTTTACTTCCAAATGAGTGCGCACTACAGTGTTTCACGAATATCTTGTTCTTATCTTGCTTTGTGCGTTAGCTGAAAAAACTACTGAACAAGACAAGAAATTCAACAATTGGCAAGACTAGACAGAGTGAACACTTTGTTCGGGGTGGTTCCGTTTTAGTAGTTCAATCAGCGAATGGTCTATGAAAGATTTGTTGGCAGAGCGGCATTCTTACTCAAACTTTTGAAGAGAACCTATGCAGGTCGATCGCGTATGGAATCTCGGCCGAATTTTGAAAGCAACTGTATTAACCAGTCGTGTCATAAAGGGATATGAAAGAATCATTTATTGCGGTATTGTACGTGAAACGTTACTACAAAAGTCATCGTTATCGAAGTCTAGGTACCGGTACATGTACCCAGTATAAAGTAGAAAGTATTTGTGCAAAATAGGGAAACTTCAATGCGCGGTGAATGAGGCAATCGACGGCTGATTTAATTTTTAACCGGGAATATGACGAAGCGTTTCCGTATTAGTACGTGAACGACCTCTTTTTCGTTTTGCTGCATATGTTGGTTATTGCTCTTGTGCTTAAATAAATTGTTACCACTAAAGCGTTTGGGTCCAAGGTGCAAAACTTAAAGAAAGTTTTTTTTCTCCTTTCAACAAATACAACCTATGATTGATGAAAGGGTACTAATAATATTTATTTACATAAAGGTCCGGAAAATGATGGAAATATTACTAAGGAGTACATATTGAAGTGCGGGCCCCCCTTCGCGTACTTTAATTTCCGAGTCAAGTAATTGTCATTTCACTGACGAGTTTTGTATTAAATTTTACCCTAAATCGTATTTTAATAGAATAGTTCAATTTTGATGTAGAACTCTTGATTAATGTCAATCTGTCAGTGATGACAGGAGTCATTGTAGACGTTTTTCAATGTCACAGGTGCGGCCTTTAAAATGACGGTGCCGCCGGTAAAGTGACAGATGCGGCCAGTAAAGTGACAAGCGGTAGGAAACCTAGTCTGCTCTGCCTTTGTCATGGAAACTAAAATTCCTGACAGAAAGTAGGCATGAATAGTATTTTACATTATTAGCCAGGTAAGTGAGTTTTTACTGGCGATAGGAGAAGTTGACTGGCGAGCCGTTAGGCGAGCCTGTCATCTCCTAGAGCCAGTAAAAACTATTACCTGGCGTATAATGTACAATATTTTATTTGTTACTCATTTGTAAACGTAAATAATTAGTTCTTAAATTGATCTTGAAGAAATGTCTAAAATATCATGTGATCCATGTAACAGAGACTTCGCATTAATTCTGGCCAATGAAATTACTAGATTACTAACTTGTAAAATTTTTACAGGTCTGCTGTCAGTTTTACAAGTCTGCTGTCAGTTTTACAAGTCAGTAGCGTTTAAACATGACGTTTACCCGTTTGCGTTTTGTCTTGTTAATCAACGTTTACAACTGAGTAACAAATAAAAGTATAAATTACGCGATTAAGAGTTTGTTGAACAAATACATTTACAGAAATTCTCTACCAACCTTCATAGTACGCCTAAACAGGGCCGCCGATAAGGTGAGTAAGCCGGGGCAAATGTCCCGGGGCCCGACCGTATTCTGAGGGCCCGGCCAAAACAGATCCTGCAAATTGCTTTTAATAATAAGTTATGAAAATTGCAGTGTATTTAGCTATGTACATATGAAAATTATTCATATGTTCTCCTTTTGAATCCAAGAAGGAAAGATTGAAAATATATAATGGAGAATAACATTTGTCATTATAGGGGTCATTCATGTTATAGAAACCGGGACGGCTACAATTACAGGAGTGTTAATCAGGATCGTTTGATAGTTCTTTTATAATAACAATGATACAGAATCAATATATATTCTATTTTTCGACGTAGTCCCAGCGTCCTTCAATCACTGCGTCTCCAATCTCACGATCTCCGTCCGGAAGTGTTTTTCCTCGAGCTCCTTAAAATAGGCGCACACGCGTTCTCCTTTATGGAAAATGTTTCTCCATCCAGAAACTTTTAGTATTGGGAACAGGTCTGACGGCGGCGAATCAGGCGAATAAACAAGACGATCAGAATTTACGTGGCGAGGCAAAATTTTCTTCTCGACCAACCCAGACCGTTTCTCCGCGATTGCTTCCCTCAAACGGTTTTACCATTTTCAAGGTAGTAAACTTGCATCGCCGAAAACTGACTCTGTTACTCTTAGTCGAACGCCGTTCTCTTGCTGTGTTTCGAGAATAGTGATTCCAGGTTTCGTCCACAGTAACAACACGGCGCACACAGTCTACTCGTTTCTTTCGCAACACGCACCTTTATACACCAAATCGTAGATTGTCGATGATTTCTGGAGTAATAGCAGATCAGCGCTGCATGGACTCCGAAGTGGACTCGGTGCGTCGGCAGGGCTTGCTCTGCTCATTTTAAACTCGCTCGCCCAAAGGCGAACTGTTTCGTGTAGTGTCTTCAACATCTTCTCCAAACAAAAAAATGGGTACAGCTCTCACTCTCACCGTCCTTATAATTCCATTGTTTGGTTTCAGTATCGATTCCTTCAGACCTAAAACTCAGGATAATATGCTCTGTAATATATAAAAATCAATGTTGTATCTAGCATAAATTCTTCTGACAATTTTATTAGAAAATACTTTTAACCTATTTACAGCAATTTTAAATTAGACCTTAACCTAAAATAGCAACACGTATAAGCAACTTCCCGCAAGAGTTTTCTCAGCCAAATCAGCCATGCCCGAATTTATTGTTTCTATAACTGGAAGTTGTGATGCATGGGGTGAGAATAATGTCCAGAATGTGTTGAGCGAGGGACAGTTCTCTGCGAAAATTGGGAGTACGTGTCGTCTTGACCAGGATGCATCAACAGTACTGGATGCAGATTAAGAGATTTTCGTGATCCGGCTACACTTGCACCGTCTCCTATGAAGCCGTTGTTCATTTCACCTGAAAACAAATTTGTCGTTAATATGATAAAGGGAAAAGCAATATTGCTAATAAGATAGTGGTTTTCAAAACAGTTACTATAATCACTTAGTGCACGTGACATTAACAAAAATGTAAAAATGAAATGAGTTCAAAAGCCGTATTAATTCAATTGGAAAAAGAAAATGGGTGAACTAGCAGCATAAAAGTAAACTGCGGGATACTAACATCGGGATTCCGTCTTGAGCCGTGGTAGAGCTCTTTTGTTTAGCTCGGAATTTTAAAGAGACTCGCGTGGAAGCATTGGGAAAAATTGGTTCAGGGGTACTCGTACGGAAATTAACAACAAATATAAACGGTTCGTTAGCAAAACCTAGGGAGCCGTATTAACTCAATTCAAAAAAGAAAGCGTGTGCACCAGCAGCATATGCCGATTTTGCCAACGCGTTCCAGTGCGCTATTGATGGAGTATATTATAGAAGCGGAAAGTTAGTTCGAATGGCGCTATTATGCAATACCTCATGCAATACAGTAACCGCAAAAACCTATCACTCGCAAATTTAAGTTCCAGGCGGAATTATTTTAACGTGCAAATTATTATGCTTCGAATAAATGGTCTAGGTTGTTGTTTCATAGAAGATTGTTACCCGAGAAGTCCGCCTTTCAGTATGAGTCAAGCGACATCTATTTTGGTTCCATTCCAGCAACCGTAAAATTCGAGCATGTTCCAGTTGCCCAAAGTCAAACTGCTCCAAGGGTAGAGTTGGACGCCATGTAAATGAGGTAAACTAAAATTGTGTATTTGTATTTCAATACGAATTGTGTCTTTCTATGAATTTGACGAGTAAAAGTTTAAACCTTAAACACAAACATGCTTGAAAGACATAATCAATTTTCTTGATAGGTAGTTGTGTAAAAAGGTTGATAAGATTTTTCTATTGTAATTCACGTTTGGGTATGAACTCTGATAGAAGAAGGTGAGAAAGTTTTACATTTTAAATCAGTATTAAGACCAGGAAATCATCTGACTAAGTTATTTATATAAGTATACAATTTAAGATTTGTTAATGTGTGTGTAAAACAAAAAGCGAATTTACATAATTTTCCATTGTTTAATTAAGGGGGAAGTAATAACAATTTCGTGATACTAGACGTGTCAACAAAAATAAAATTGATGTCCTTCAAAGGGTGTAGAGGTAGGCGGATATATAAATTAAATAGCAGAATCCAAGATTGCTAAATCTGCATTAAATTTCGGTGTTAAAAGCAGATGTTGAGTAACATTTCCTTTAACGCCCTGGTATATCAACCCTGATGGCCTACATTTTCTGCATTAATTACAACCTCTTTTGATGCATTATTGATTAATGACCAAATCTGAAAAGAAATCTACTTTCGGCCTTCCACAAACTTGATTTAAATATGAAGAAACATTCATCCCAAACTTATTATTGTTACAATATATTCGTCCGATTTTTCTGCCAGACACGCTTGATGATTAATTAATAAACACGCGTTAATGTTTAGAAAGTGTTCAAATTACAAACTAGGGCGTCTATTTTAATAAATTTGAACCTTTACAGTAAAATATACCAGCCTTGAATTCGAGTGTTATAGGTGAACAACATTCCAATGGGGTGAATGCGCTACTTCCCGTTTCATCTAGGTACACAACCCACAAGTGAAAAAGCTAAACTTTTTACAGTTGGCGTGTTCACAACCTGTAATCTTATAAAATTAGGTAACACACCGTGGTTGAGTGAATTTGTGTCGATCTTACTAGGCATAACAAATAAGAAACCGAAAAGCATTTTATATCGCAATAAATTTCATACACAGTTTTAATGAAAATGTAGATTTGCGGAGGATGATTTTATATGCAGAACTATTCTGCTATAACCCCAAAAGTTAGGAAGTCAGAAAATTGACCGTTTTTCAACGAATTGGCTTATAAAAAAATAAAACGAAACATTAAACGGTCCAGTACTAAATAACTTCATTCGGTGACGGAATGATCAGAAGCGGTGAGTAGCTAAAGTGGAGAGCTGGAAAAAAGGGTGGCTTGGAAGGTCATTATTTGCTGCAACTTCTGAACACTCTTATGCCATACTTTGTGTGTGATCATTCTGCAGGTTTTAGTAGCTCCTTGATTGCTCTTTATGTCATGTACGTTCTTGTGGAATTTATGGAGGTTGAAGTCGCTAGTACCCAAGTAGTAGGTAGATATTGTTAGTACTGTTGTCATAAGGTATTCGCTGGCATATTTAAATATTGTCACTGCGGTTGCATTTATTGGCGTCATCTGCCGGTGGGAGTTTTCGCGCAGGCTCCTGGCATCATTTAAAATTAGCATAAATCCAGCGATTGAACCTGTGTTTTGTGGATTCCGATTTAGTTGGACAGGTTTTCTGCAATTTCCTCCGAGTCGCGGAGGCTTTATGTGGTTTTCCATTGATTATGTGAGTACGGTCATTCTGCATTCCACGTGGTACACGTACATGTTGGCATTCTTTTAGGAATACTGCTGAAGAACCGATATACGCCCTTATTGGATTGATGTATGCGGGGAGCTACGTCACTAGGGATTTTACATATTATGTATTGTCTTTTAGAGCTTTTAATTTCTCGTACAAGTCCTGGTTTCGCGTACCCGAAAGTATTTCCTTTACAACCATCTGAACGTGTTATTACTAACATCCGTGGCTTATCACAACATCGCAGCCACACTATCGGAGGTCACTGGGTGAACGAAATACTCAAAAGATCGAAGATTGACAATATTGGGATGCTTCCTTCTGAAGGACCGAAACAACGACAACTCCCGTCAACTTTTATCGCCATAATTTATTTATTTATTATCCCTCTCTTGTTCTGGGCCCTCAACAGGCTTGTGCCCAATTACAGAGTGACCCGCATAATACTTTTTAGAGGTGCCTCTGCAGAAGGTCTTAAGTTGTTCTATACGACTCCGGTATTTACCTTACGAATTAGGACAACTGCAGGAAAACCTAATTCGGAGTAGCCGGCAGAATGCTCGAAACTGGTCTAAGATAATTCCCATCTCTGCCACAGATGAAAAATTCATCTCAACCCAGGTTCGAACACCCGACCTTCGGATTTATCGTCCAACGCTTTACCACTGAACCATAAAGCCGATCAATTAGTTAACCTCTGCTTCTTCAAGTTGATATGTAAGTGCATTTACATCAGCAGTATATGATCTATAATTCCTGTAATCTCTGTAGACATATGATCGAGTCCTTACGAAGTAGTGCACATTTGAGAATCGTAAACGACACTGAAGCGGATTACGAGTAGATCAAGGTCCTTCAGGCATTAATCAGTTAATTAGATACCAAGCCTGGGAATTTCGACTTGCATTACTCAAGGTAAGATTTGTAAGATTATTGCTTGCACTTGGCGTTATCGGTGCGAATTTTTGCTTGGAATACCTATCATTTTACTTGTTGAGAATCGTTGTGAGATTCAGTAAATCAATTTGTGCGGATCAGCGCATTTTGTCATTATGGGGAAAGAGAGAAACTGTGACTTTTATTTTAAGTTCAATGTAATCTTGTGGAGTTAAAACAAGAAACAAGTATTCAGAAAATAATAGTCGAAACGTCACGGTGTTGCCACGATCTGACAGACCTCAAAGGATGCATTCCGTTTTACTAGAAGCCGAGCACGTGATGAAAATGCGGGATTTGTATTAGTTAAGAGGGCACGTTTCGTATTTGGGATTCAGTGAGGTATTTAAGTAAAAATCTAGTGGGAGAGCAGGATTCTTACTGAAATCTTCGAAGAGAATCTTTGTCGTCCGAGCGCATATTGATTTCTTAGCCGGACCTTTGGTGCGAACTTGCATATTGTGAACGCGGTGATTTATAGATCGCATAAAACGGAATTCTTCAAAACTTCCAAGGTTAATATTGTGATTTGTGTACATTATTTTGGAATCTCTGTGTGAGAGAATCGTTGGTTTCGCAACCAAAGACTGTGCCTCCATTTTTAACAGGTTAACGAACATGGCTGTCTTCTCAATTCACTATAAGTCATCATAAGTAAAGCAATAATAGGGGGTTAGTTTATACAGAAAGAGAACTTCATTGCGTGAAGGAGGCGATCGGGCCGCCGATATATTTTTCAAATGTGAATATTGCAAGCTAGAATTTTTCGTTTCGATGCATTATTGGATTAAGGTGTTCACGCTTAAATAAATTGTTACCACGAAAGCGTTGGAGTCCAAGGTACAAAACATTCCGTTGAGCCCAATGTGTAGTGGCAAGTTACGTAAGAAACCAATTTATTAATCAAAGTAGTGCATCTAATTTGTTTATGCTTATAGGATTATAAACAAAACGGGTATCGGTAAAAAGGTTAAAGACAATTAGTTTGAGCTTTGGTTTGCTGTAATCCTAAGTGACAGTTTTGAAATTTACACACTGCTATTCGGTTTAAACTTTGCAAAGTTGACATATATACCACATGTGTTATGGGATCTAGACTCAATTCAGGACGATTCAAGATCAGGAAGACCCTCGGGAAGACCGGTTGAAGCAATAACTGGGGAAACCATAGCAAGGTCTCCTGCTGTATGATTGATTAATTCTAGTCCTTGAAAAACAATGTGAAGTATCTAAAAGTACAATATTGAAGGTTTTATGCGAAGATTTCGGAACGACGGATTCCCCCACTCATAGAAACTGGTGAGGAAATGAATTTATCAATAGCCTTTGCACGCTTTGGTGAACGATGACAGTTATTTTTCGCGGATTGTCACAAGCGACAAAACATGAATCAATGCCTTAGGGGCTCTCTACCCCCAAAATAGGCAAATATTTGGTTTTCGCCTACAAAATTGATGGAGATAATTTTTTTGCGACTGTGGGGGCGTTTCCATGTTCAAGCTGTTATCGTCCAGCTCAGCTTTAGCACCATGCGGCTTTTTTTGTTCAAACATCTAAAAAAATACTTCAGGGGCCGACAATTTAACTCAGTTGGTGACCTGAAAGTTGCAATAGTGCAAACAAATGATTTCTTTTAGATGGAATAAAACAGCTGGAAAAACGTGGGATTAATTGTTTGGCAGTTAGCTTTCACTATTATTAAAACATAATAAACTTAATCACGATACAACGAAAATAATAAAAATAAGAAATTTAATTTTAAAAAATAAATTGATTAAATTGAATTTTAATGGCACGACCTTGATAAAATTAATCAAGTCAATGGTGTTAAGTGATCACACTTTCTCCTTCAAACTGACCACGCACAAGAAACGGCTGAAACGTGTATGTGTTGTAATGTATACCGGTACCAATTATAATTTGGTCAGCCTTACCTTTATACAAACTAGCGGTAGCATAATGTGGATCAGGTTGTAGACGAACATGTCGCGTCGCTAATATAAATGCCAATATCGATAATATCAGAGCGTCCAGACATCCAATAGCTGCTAGTAAATAGGCCCATCGAATTCCACAATCGCCGAATACGTAAAGATCGGACTGGCCGCAGATCTTTTGGACGTCGGCGTCAGCCCAGCCGGCGGGAAAAGTTGCATTTCCGACTACCATGCAAACGGCTGAAAGTAGAATATGGATTAGTGGCACGTCATTTGGATAAAATTATAAATAAAACAATACCATCACGTTAATTAATAACTGTGCAATGTTATTGCATTTTATTACACTTCCATGTAAGTATACCTACCTATACGAGCGTGCAAGAAATTACATAAGGGCAACGGTTCTAATTCTGTTATTCTATTATATAAAGATAAACACTACTGTAATATTTAACGATGAGCAAAAGACTTTTACTACATTTCGTTTTTTTTAAAGCTTCCTACGAATGGAGACTTCAAACATTTACAATAATGATCTTTAACTTTCGCATTAAAATGTTCATTGTTCGTTTTTTGATTTTAATTGTGGATTCTGAAAGAATGTTTATGATTGTTGTCTTGAAGAATTAAAATAAAAATTTGAATGTCCAATTTGAACTCATATTTAAATATAAAATTGAAATTTGCAAATTACTGTGAGAAAGAAATGACGAAGATCTAAAGCAAAAATAGCTGATTTGGTGCCGAATGTAAAAATATTTAGTATAGTATAGTATCGTAGTATACCCTGTAGTATGCTAAAGTTGCGTATTTTGATGCTTAACAAAATGCCGTTTTCAAACTGAAAAAATCCTGACTAATTTTTGAGATATCCTGAAAAAACGAAATTTTGCAAAATCGACGTTTCGTTTCCGGCTAACCATCATTAACTTTGTTTTTTTTAAGTGAAAAAATATCTACCCATTTCAATAGGGAGCAGATAAGAGACAAAATGGGGTAGATTTCAATAGGAGAGGAGGGAAAACGGGACCGTTGAACCTCAGATGACATTGTCGACTAGCAGAAATGCAGTTGTTTGAAAGTCAGTTCTAGGGTGAACCATTAAGTACTCGCTTCCAGTACAATTGTGAAACGTGTAAATATTGCACCACAGTACCCGAGTGTCGAACGTTAGACATTGATATCGCAATATTTATATACCGCGCTATTCACTATCCCTCTTGTTTTTTTGTTTATGTTTTTATCTGTTACAGATAAGGCAGAAAAGCGTCTATCGGAGCTCAGACGGCCTTTATAGCCAGAGTTCAAAGGTAATATTTTTTATTTGTTACTCAGTTGTAAACGTTGATTAACAAGACAAAACGCAAACGGGTAAACGTCATGTTTAAACGCTACTGACTGTAAAACTGACAGCAGACCTGTAAAAATTTTACAAGTTAGTAATCTAGTAATTTCATTGGCCAGAATTAATGCGAAGTCTCTGTTACATGGATAACATGATATTTTAGACATTTCTACAAGATTAATTTAAGAACTAATTATTTACGTTTACTATTGTTTACAAATGAGTAACAAATAAAATATTGTACATTATACGCCAGGTAATAGTTTTTACTGGCTCTAGGAGATGACAAGCTCGCCTAACGGCTCGCTAGTCAACTTCTCCTATCGCCATTAAAAACTCACTTACCTGGCTAATAATGTAAAATACTATATTTCCGACGACTCCTTATATAAGGTGTGATTATACATACTGGTTTTCGATACAATCGAATTGTAAGTAGTATTTGTCCTTTTTTTTTGCTAAAAATTGAGGTAAAGTTAAGCGTTGACATTTCAGATCTAGGTGTCCTCCTATTTCTAGTGTGTTCAGATCATGTATTAAATTACCCTCAATTGTGACCATAACGATTGTTTATATTCTACCCTCGATTCTACCCCTTCAATTATTTTATTTCTTTAGCTTGTCAAGACTAGAACAAGCCTCTCTTAGTCTGCCTTGTTCCCTCTTTCGGTAAGTATTATCTCTTCTCTTTTGAAATTGACTAAATACTAAGTGGCGCCTATCTTGTTTACTCTATTTCCTTTTTTCGATTTACTTCGTGTACGAGAACACTATTATCCACCCCAATCCACCTCTACTTTGCCTGAACGTACCGTGTGTTTATTCAAAGGCAATTTTGTTTGCTCAAAGTGAACGTAGCAATCTAATTGGGAGGACAGATTCGCAGTCATGATGGGACGTATTTTCTGAAAATAATATGAGGAGGAACCCGTGCGCGAAAGATATCCGGGAGCATCAAGCGTAATTGCTGAGATCTCATCCGGACAGCCAGCCAGCCATGACGAATAAAATAGCGTATTTTTTTCAAAAATGCGCTAAAAATCGTTAAACTGATAATTCGATGCTCTATTTCAATAATTAATAATCACTTATATTGCTATGTGTTCCTTAATAATAAGAGCAACTTGTAATTACTACTCGTACAAAGGGGCATTTATTGTTTAATCAAGTTTCTTTCTCTTGCTTATCAGAATTGCGAATTATATAAAGCCATTTGTTTTGAAATGAAAGTCCTCGGCCATCAAAGACAGAGCACAAAACCGGAAAGGTCTATTTACATAATACCGCAACGTTAAAGTACTCTTCCATGAAGTGTCACAAATTAATTAAAATAAACAATATTAGATAATCCCGATTTGAAAGAGAAAACGGGAAATAAATTTGCAAAATATCAATTTACTCTTCGAATTATATCAAAATTAAGTTAGATTGTTAACTTTCACTAGCGATGTCATAAAATTTATTGCCAACGCGTATACCTACTTGCATTCGTCAAAGTCATCACTTTACAAATTTCTTAATTGGAGCTTAATTTTAATGAGTTTTCCATTCACGGCACTATGAGGTACTTATCTCCAGTGGTTACATTTTACATAATTTTAAGTGGTAATTGTTCACTACAAATGGGCACACAATGGTTTTCCTATACGAACTGAATTAACAATGCTCACAAGCGTCAGCTATAATGTTAAGGTAATGATCGTAATTACATGAAGACGTCACTTCCTTCTTAATTGTTTGTCAGAGTGTAACGGAAAGATTTAAAATTTTCGAAAAAACGATAACTACCTACTTTTTGATCAACCACACCTTACATAAAGCAGAACGCTATACTGAACAACAAATAAAAATTTCAAACAAACAATACATTCATATGTGCTACCACTCTACCAGAGCATATTTTAAGCTATAAAGCTCGTTATAAAGTAGGCAACAACTAGTGCCGCCTAGTAAAGACTTTTTAGCGGCTAGCAGTCTGTAAGGGAGGTCTAGATAAATAGAAAACGTATTATGAATTTGGATATTCTGCTTTTGCACTGTTGCCAATTATATTTCTCACCGTTTATAACAGCCTTTGAGGTGACAACGGACAGTATTAAAATGCCACACCAACGCCCAAACAGTTTCCATTTAATTCAATTAATTTAATTAAAGTATATAAATGAAACAATTAATTCTAAGCTTGCAATGTAATGGACAATTAATATTGAGAGTGGTTTAGCATTGAAGCAAGTGGCACTATGGCACTTTACTCTTTAAATAATTACTTTATTAGTGCTAGGTTAACCGGCATGTGGAAATTTGTTGTTCTGTGGCTAGGTGGGGTAGGGTGTAGGGGGTTACTTAACGGACATTCTGCTTTATTGCATTTCATACATGGTTAGTTGTTATACTTCATAATATTTGAATTGCATTTTCTTGTGTGAGTGGGATTTCGTCCAAGGATTTGCTATTATAAACGTTCTGGAGCGCATTAATTTTCATTTAATTTTAATAGTTTGTTGATGAATTCGTTTCACAATAATGGAAATGAGGTTTGTACGCGTATCCTTTATAATAACATAACATACCATAATCAAAGTATTAAAATAAGTTGTAAATCCTAACCATATTTTAATTTATTTCAGCAAGTTAATCACTTATTTAAACTACAACAACCTGGACAACAACAATAACCATAAAGAAGCAATCCTTAAATTTATGATTTGCAGAACCTAAACCTCCCAACATATTTTATAGGGACCAACTTAGATCCTCCTGTAGTTTCATACCTCGTTTCATACTCTCCGTGCCCCCCAAAACTAACATTACTGATTTGATGCTACATGATAAAATGCAAAAAAATAAAGCATGTGTTATTTCAAAACATCTCAACCTCGATCTCAACTGTTTAAGCTTCTGAATTGACCGTTAGTTGTAAAACACCCTGTAGAAATGTCAAGTCAGCATTGTTAATTCTGGAAAACTTACAGGGCTATACAGGGCTCAAAAGAAAAGCAGTCAAATGTCAAACATTTTGAAAATTCTTGAAAACCTTTGATCCCGGGTATGGGGATAGGTATCAAAATGACGTAGATTTGTATGTAGATTTCGAAAATGCAATAAACTACAGGTTGGTCTATTATAAGAAAGTTGGTACTGACCACATTTATAACACCCTCGAGTAATAATTTCGAATAATTTCGATATGTATACCTACGCTTGATTGTGTACAACTAAAAATAATATAAGTCCAGGATCTGGAGTTGAGAAGATTATCCCCAAAGGATCAAAAATAATCTCGATGCGGTTGGTATAAGTAAAGCTAGATGGGAACGATAGGACGAAGAAAATTGTAGAGATGTGGAAATTTTACTTTAGTGGAGGCGGCACAAGAGGAAAGGGTGAAGTGGGATATTACAAAATCAAAATTAATAAAGTCAAAAACAAAAACCTTCAATTATGGATAAAATTGTTGTCGTGTGTAATGCAGGGAACTAACTTCTACCGACCGGAAGGGAGTATACACTGTGTCCAAGATAATGATATCTATTTTGGGAATCTCCGAAACCCTGGAAGAAACGACGATGGTCAAATTAGAGAGAAGATGCGCAATTAAAGAGTTATTATAATGCTTTAAAAATCACATCGCCTTAATAGTGCGAGAATACCTATCGGACATTTGCCGGAAATTGCCCAATAGGTATTCTCCGTATCGGTATTATTTCGTTGTGCGCGAGTGCACCATCCTGTTGAAACCAACAGCTTCCAGCTTTTGTTTTTTTTGTTGTGCCCTACATCGTTGTATTCGTACTAAAAAACGCTAATCAGTACAGTATGTACTTTTTTTTACGGACCATATAAAAAAATTGAGAAAAAAATAAAGTTGATGATTTCTCGAAAACGAAACGTTGTATTGAAAATCTCTTAAGGCTCTCGTATAGAACTCAAAAACTGGCAAGGAGAAAGTGTTTTTTATTTTTTTGTATCTGTTCAAATAACAAAAAAAAATAATAACGATATCGGCAAATTTCGGTTTTCCTAACATATCTTCGGAAGTAATCAGGATTTTTCGGTTTTCTTTAAAGCATGATAACTCTTTTATTCGCATCTTTCCTCTAATTTGACCAACGTCGTATCTTCTATGGCTTCAGAGATCCTCATGATAGACACTTTTCTTAGACACAGTGTAATACTATTCGGTTCATCCCTGAAAAATTAGTAGAATTGGCGATATGAATAAAGAAATTTGGAACCGCTTAAGGAAGCGTCGGAGATAAAACACCTTTAGGGTCACCCTGGTAGGTATATAATCCAACACATGGAAATTGGAATAACCTATTTGAAAAAAAACTGCTTCACTGATTAGGGAAATTAAAGAGAACGTTTCTATGCAATAGTATTTTTCTGTGCAGTGTACCTACTGTGTACTAAATTACGATTTTTTTTAAATAGTTGATGGCAGCAGACTACCAAGTGTAAGAAAAGTTTCCACTGATTTTGCTGATGGTTTACATTGCCGTGATTCTAACAATAATTGTTATTAGTAAAAGAAAATGTTTATACGAAAGGAATGTAGGTATAAACATTAAACTATCCTCGTTCCTGTTCAATTTCGCAATTTATTTTATTTCAATGGCCATTTTGTATTTACTTAGCCCATCAACATTCAAGTGTGTTATAAGTAGTTTTAGGTAGAATAACGAAAATCCAAGGATTTGGCATGGTGTTGGAAAGTTCACTACAATGGAATGTAAATGGTTTTCACACCATACTGTTAATTGGATAAGTATAACGTTGACACGGTCTTGGAAAATGCATATAATTATATTCATTTCAGTGTGGAATTTAATAACTTGACATTAAAACTTGACACAATTCACTAATTAACATGTTTAATGACATGCTGAAGATACCGCCTAGTAAAAGTTAAAAAAAATGGATTTTTTAATTAGAAATCGTTCCGAATAGACTTACCAGATAGAAGCTGCAACCAGGCACATATATGATAAACGGTAGTTGAATGGCAAATAAAGAACAAAATCATAGCACATATTGTAAGTAGAGCTGCAATAACAGCAAGTCCAATAAATATCGTAGCAATTAAAAATGGGGTATTTGATATACTAATGAATTCTTCAATTTTTCCCTTGCATCTTTCGCCAGATTCTTCAACGTAACATGAAGACCACAAACCGATTTTGCCCGGAAATTCACCCTCAACGTTCCCTATCCATTCCGGTGTAATAAATGCAACCACAACAATTATAGCGTAACACACAGTAAAAATAGCCCACAAAACGCCAATTGCTTTGGAATTTCTGGCGTAACTTGTCGCATAAATTTGCGAAGAATCCACGTATTCTATTTTCGATCCCATTTTCGTTCCTTTTTAGTCCATTTTCACTACACTTATGTTTAAAATCATTGTGAAAGTTGCGGGCGCACCTTTTTAAGCCAAAGGCAAAAGCATCACTACCGAAGTATGACACGTAAATGTTATTGTTTCTTTCAAGTAGCTACCTACCTGCGGGAGTTACCTGTCGAACCGGAACGAATGTTTGGACGATGGTATGTTGGTTGCATATAGGTATACAATTTTGGATCGGAACGAGAAATTATGTAAATTACAGGAGGTAGGAATGTAACCTTTTCTGTTACTTACCTATATCTCACGTTTCGTTACTTGCTTTAAAAAGAAGACTTAATTTGGTTTGGAACGAATTTGATCCAAAGGATACGCCCATCTTTTTGGGATCAAGTGGTCCCACTGGCCTGAAAACTTACAGAATTCCTTGCCACTAAGCTTAACTAGTTCCTTTCATATCCAATGTTCTTATATATGAGACACAAAAGAGTATTGGTTTATTGGTTTTTTTCGCAGGCTTCTCCAAAAATGTACAAATAACTTATGCAATTAGTAATAAAAGAGTAAGGACACACTGACCTAATGTTACAGAGGTGGATGTGGCGAAATGAAGAATTGCAGAACCTTTACTACCATAGTGATTGATTTGGACGGTGGTTATGTCACATTTTTTAAGTAACTGTTCCGCTGATATTTACATTTCTATACTAATTTTATGGTCTTTAAAGTAGTGCAATTACAAATTGAAAAATAGGAGTAGCTGAGGGTGCGGGGGTAAATCCTAAAACGAAGGTAAGGTAATCCTTCCATCAATCAACTAACTTCACACATCTAATCGTGGACCATGGACGGCTATAAATCAACTCAACGTGGAATAATTTTGTGGTTATTCTGCAAATCCCACATGACGCACCAAACCACTAACCAGATATCGAAGACTGCAAAACAAACAACATTTTTCTTGTGACCTGAAACAATCATGGCGTATCCCACGACTCACCGGTGCCTTAACTTTTCAAACGCCCACGTAACACTTCAGACGGGAAGAACCACTTGCTTGACCAAAGTAATAAAAAATATAGGATCGCCCACACCCATGAATCCTTCTGACTATATTGGACTGTGCCTATTTGAAGGAGGAAAAAATGGCATACGGCGTCTTGGAAAGAATAACCCTGATGCGGCAAACAAAAAGCTGTATTTAAAGACGCCATTTGCCTAGATAGCCAGACGAAAAGTGCTGGACTTAAAACGGGAGCAGTAGGTAAACCTACAGAGGGAATATCAAACTCATATCATATATCATCTTATTGACTATCTTACACCATCTACATATTTATAAGCTGCGACTACAACGTCTACGGTGCTAGGATCTTCACCAATCCTGGTGGCCTGCTCCACAATCATCCTTAAATATAAATAAATCCCCTTCGCAACCCAACGCTGACGAGTAGTCTCCGGGCTCGCCACTACCATGCGTATATCGTGTAACATCGTTACCACACAATCGAGAAATGTCAATTGGCAAAAATAGAATTCAAAATCTTGTCATTCCACAAACACCTTCGCCTTCCAAACCAAGGCGCTAGGGTTGTGACTGACTTGTTGACCTTGCTGTTGTTTGGTCGCCTCTTACGACACGCAGTGCCCTCTTCGATAAAGTTATTTTTTCGCGCCTCTATAGGAGTATACGAGAAAAACAAACACACCAAGAAATACCATATTAACAAATTTAAAAAAAATCAAATCAAAGAAAATAAATTAAAGAGCTCCCGTTACAGAAACTACTCAACTAGACTACGACAATGTGTGCTTCCCATCCCCCATCACAGGTTTCATATTATTTTTTTTTACCGTTATTACCGTTATTACAGCTTTTTACTGCGAACTATGAAATGCACATAGTTAATATCACTGTCAATAATTATATATATACCATGCGATCAGAAAAGAGTTGCTGTCGCGTCTTCTTTGAAATTTTTGTTTACATGTGAAATCATATTTAACTTGAATTTCCAAAGACGTCAATCATTTTTTGATCGCCCGTTACTATTAACACAGATATACGTAAACGCATATCTGTGCTATTAACAAAGACTCTTTGCAATTAATTATTATTAATAATATAAACTTGATTGTGCGAAAATTCATTGGGAAAAGCAAATATGGGCTCTGAAATTTCGCTGCCGTTGGAAAACCCGCTCATAGGAACTTACTTTCCCAAAGAACATTCTCATTCATGAAAGCCCGACCTTTCGCATTTTTCTTTAAAAAGTCCGCTCTTGGAATTTCTTCTATCAAAGAATAGGCCCATGCCTTCTACTTCTTTCTTTAATAAAATGCGTCCAGTAAAGCTGATCTCGGAATATTAATTTTCCCTTGGAATATTAGGTGCGAAAAAAACTCATCTGTGAAAGGTTCACCCTTGGAATAATGTTTACACAATAAATTCGGGTAAAGTTGCTTCCAACAATTCGTCCACAAGAAAACCAACCCCCGCAAATTAGATGCAGCTCGCTTATACCCTCAGAAAAATTCCTCACTCGCCGGAATACGCGCTCACCTAAAACTTGTTCCAACAAAAATTACGTACAAGAAACCTTATCCCAAAAATTTTGTTTTTAAGAAAATACCCCACCCCCTCCCTTTACGAGATCGTCATCCGCTACTGTAAAGTAGCAAGTGTGAGGCTAACTTTAATTTGAGTTTATCAATTTTTCGCAGAAATAGTTAGAATGTAAGCCCTTGTTCGCTTCAGAAAAGCAATTGTCGCCTTGGAGTTTGATGATTACCTCAGATTTCACTTCCTTATGAGACATATTGAGTTTCATTTGGGACCTTGGCGTGATATGAACCACTGATTTGGGAACTACCAGATCTACAGACTACAGCTTTGCGTTGCTTAGGATGATGATTAACGCCCCTAAAACCATCTGCAATGGTAGTAACAATAAACAATTACACGTGACGTGACCGTCGGGACTAACGACCCGACACTGTTTGTTGGGAACTAATTAATTCAAAGTAGAATGCTTCCATAAATAAAAAAGTTGGCACTATGCGCATGCATTTTGAAACTGGCGTTAGATTTTCCTTTATTCCAAGCGCCTATGTATCGAATTTTCGATCTCTAGGATCGTTAATAAACGGCAAAAGTGTAAAATTATGGCAAATGGTTTTTTTGTTTTTTTTACAATTTTGTAAACGGTACAGAAAAAATTCCTTCCTTGATGCAAGCCTCGACACTATAATGAACCAAATAGTGAAAAAAGTAGAACAATAGCTCCTAAGATAAAGAACTAGTAGCGTCCCAACGAATGGCCGGACCGACGGACGAATAAAGTGGCTACAATAACGCATTTTTTTATTTTTGTGGAAATGCGTTAAAAACTTGCAGAAGGCAAGTTCCCCTTACAGCCTTCGCCCAGACAATCACACTCAAGAAAAATTCACAGATTTCGCAGTCTATGCAAACCCTAGAAGACTTTGGAAATAAACCCGTATAACGCCATATGTACTTAAAATACAAATAACTCTTATTCGATCGGATTCATTCTTCTGAATAATAAGCGTCGTAACATGCTCGTAATGCTATAAAAGGATATCTGCGAGAATTTTAAATTAAAGTTAACAACGCAACTTTTCCTTCACCTACCGCTCATGGTCGAGTACGGTACGATCGTCACTTGATGAGACACCGTTGTCTTTTTTGCATGGAAGGAAACCCATATAAGAACAAACATAAACATTCAACATAAACCTTCGCGAAAAATTCGCCTCCGGAGGAATCCCCCACGAAATAAACTACCATCGAATTCGCCCCTCAAATAATTCGCTCAGAAGTATTCGCGACATAGTACACTCTCATTTGAAGGTTTTTATAAAACCAAAATATTCGCCCATGAAAATTTTAAATGTTCCGTCGAAGTAATGATTCTATCAAAACTCCCATCCGAAAATATCACCCGCGCAAAGTTTAGCTATTAAAAAATATGCCTCCTTGCAACATTAGTGCTCCAGATATACCTACCCTCGTAGCCTCAGTGTATTCGACTACAAAAAATTCGATACCTATACATGCCCACTTTATATATAGGAATTATCTGCCCCCAAACATTTTTCTCCAATTTAAGCTAACCTGGAGAATTTTATTACTGTGGTATACGGTGTGACCATGCGCATGAGCCAAAGAGGGACAGCTCGAGAAGAGCCACGACGAGGGACTTCGAGTGACGCGCTCGCGGAGTTAATAAGGTAAGCGATAACGCTACATGGTGACAATGGTGAGATTGGTTTTTTGTTTCGGGGTCGGTAAAGGTACGTACACGCGATACAAAACCTAGTGCGGGTTTTGTTAATCGGTGGCGAACTTATACACGCGAAACAATAGCGAAACCATAGCGATTATAAAACAAAGTGAGTGTAGATACGCAAGGAATATGTGGGGAAACTAATACCTAAGTAATAACTTCTTTCATTTTCTCGCAACAATCGGCATTTACGGGAAAAAATTTTTAATACGCCCAATCTAATCGTAACAAAATTACGAACGATAACGCCTACACACAATATTAACCCCTCGAATAAAGATATTAACGCAGAACATTTTGCACGTCAACAACAAATACTTACGCAGCTACTGGAACTACAGCGGCAACAAATGACGTTATCTGCCGCGACAACGGATAACGCGGCAACGGCAGCTGCTCCAGTGAGCAAACGGTCTATTATTTCATCGGGCATCTGGGTACTAAAGCGGAGAAAACTCTCAAGCCATTTCACCTTTCGACGGAATATCAAAAAACTTTGCTATCGTTTTAGACAGATTCGACGCGTATTTCGAATGGGTAGAACACCAAGGTCCAACGTACCAGCAAGTAAAAGCCTGTACATACCGACATGGTCAATTTCAGCATTCGCCACAAAGCGCGATCAGGTCTCTCCACTTGGGATCGGCGCGCAAGTATGGATTACCAACGCAAAGAAGATGGCATAGTCGTGCACAAGGTACTGGAACCCAGGACATACATAATAACAGCATACAATAATGTCTACAGGAGAAATAGATCACAGCTCATAAGAGTCACGAACATACCAACTCAGCAACAAGAAGATCTAGATATAGATCTACCAGAAGATTCCCAACAAATATCACGGGAAGAGGGGAAGGAGATGAGAGATAACAACAGAGGTCGAGAGAACACAATTATCGTCGAAACAGAAGCTGGAGATGGAAGCCATGTAGAAGAAAACGAAAGAGACTGTGGCGGTGGTGGGCACCGTCTCAAAAATATATTAGGAATAAACCCCAATAGGGGGCGTGAGGTCCGCAGGGCGCAGGGGGACAAAATCTATTGGATCAAATTTAATATACTGAAATTTGAAAACCTGAAATGCCAATTTGCACATATATCGAAATCAATAATAAAGTAAATTTAAAACATCCTCACAAAGTTTATTAATTATCCAAGTAAATGAAGTAAACGTTAGTAATAAAAACTAGTTAATATAATTGAAATGAATATTTGATCGAGGTCTTTATCAGCGCTTTAATTTAAATTTGAAAGAAAATGTACCCAAGGGCACCAAAGCAAACTTTACAAAATGGCGTATACGACTGTGCGCGGCGAGATAAGATAGTTTGTTAAGAACTTGCAACTATACTTGCGATCGCATGACTTGCACTGCTGCGATAATGCCTTAAGATGGTGATGGCGGCTAATTAGCTTGATGGCGATACGTAGGTCGAGCTGACTGCCGACCCGCTACCTGCTGTTCGGTAGTTGACAGTGGTAAAGGTGCTGACTGCACCCAATGTCTTATCGATGACAACCAATCTCGCTTATGACGATTACAGATTACGCCGGTCGCTCCAATCAGGACGCTTATGACAAGAATTCCAATTACTCCAATTATGATTCCAATTATGCCAATCTACAGTTAAACTAAAATTAGCGGCAACAAACACAAGCAACAAATGTGCACAAATACGAATACAATAATTATAATTACAGATTTCCATACTTATATAATCGGAAAACAATAATATATTTAGGTACTTACTTGCACATACAAGATGGATGTTTTAAATGCAAATCATTAATTAATATTTATTAATAATATCAGAACATTACATTTCTGGCTTTCAATGTCGTTGCATTCGAGAAAGAGACCGGTTCACGTATTTGGCCAAACGCTGGTTCCCATATCTCCAATGACATGCGCGCTTGTTTTGTAGTGCGATTATTCTGTATAAACAGGGTGTACCGTAACAAGACCAACAATGCACAATCGTTGCGGAAACGGAAGAGAGCGCGAGGCAGAAGGAAAAAATGAGACTACCGCACCAAGTCACAGGTGTGACCGTGCGAATGAGCCAAAGAGGGACAGCTCGAGAAGAGCCACGACGAGGGACTCCGAGTGACGCGCTCGCGGAGTTAATAAGGTAAGTGATAAAGCTACAATTACTAGAAAAAATATTTGAAAAACGCTCCTTGCTCAGATTAATTCGGCGCATTAACCTCGCTAAGGAAAATTCGTACGCCTCATGACAGAATGTCTCCCAAAGAACTCGCCTTAGGTGAACTTATCTTCTATAACGTCCAAAACCTCTCCCCCTTTCTGGTTCGAAAGCGCCTCGATTATTTAGTCCACTAAGTTTATAGCAAGACATATAAATAGTACACCAGATTTAGAGAATGGACGGAAGACCTTTAGGAAATTAGAACCATTAGGGTAAAGAAATGACTGACAAAAGATTGACTGTAGAAGATTTCTCCAACAACACTAAAACGTGCTCAGGCATTTTTTAACAATTCGCTGTTACCTACCTGATAAAAACAGGGTTTGTTATCTATAACACCTTGTATAAGGAGTTCAAAATAAGATTCGTAATGCAAAACTTTAGCTTCTAAAGATATAAACCAGCGCTTCTCAAGAGTCATGTACCAAACATTCCTTTTTATATTTTAAGTAGCATCTATAGGTAATATTTAATTAATCATGGTAATTCACATGCTAAAATTTTAATAAAAACCGAAATAATATCCCATGCGGTGGCATCTGCGAGATTGTACAAACAGCGCTGCGGGCGGACGTTCTACAAGATTACCAGTGTTGCCAATACTTCTGTATTTTAGTTTTTAGATTTATTTATCTATTTTGTAGAGTTTTTTTATGTTTGTTATAGGTTATTGTAGTGTGTGTGTGTAGCTCTACAAAATCAATGATTTTAGGTCTATTCTTGTGCACCTACCACCGCAAATAATATGTACCACAGGTCGAAAACCGCTGATATTTTTATTCCGACTGGCGGTAAATATGATTTATATTTAGGCACCTGGAACCCTTAACAGGAACATATTGTATTATGCACTAGTCGAAGTCGTAAGCAATGTTATGTAGATAGATGGTCTATAGATATGTAGCGCAGCGCTAGACGGGCGGAAACACGGCAACATAGATGCTCCCACTCTCTTAGTTGCGCTAAAAATTTGATTTAATATCATTAAAACATTCTTCTTTGTATAACTATAATCTGCAAAGTCCTCTGGTTACTGCTTCTTCACTCCTCCTATGCCAATCCATCAAAATCGTCGACAGCCCCTCCAAGTTACTGCATATATTATCGACAGGCTTTATTCCTAAAATAAGTGCACACACCTACTCACAAATATTTTATTGTATATATTTGTCAGAGGCTACTACATGTTAATACAAAAAATGTAAGAATGGTATGGGACCTAAAAAATTCGATTTCAATAATAAAAAGATGATCACATGCGTTTATATCAAAATACTGTTCACAGTTTAAATGTACATAATAATATATTGGAAATGTATTTTGATCACGCAATGTAGGTATTTTATATACTTAATGATTATGTAATGTGATTATGCATTTGTTTCATTTATATCCACAATTAGGATTGTTTGATTAATAGATTGTGTCAGTATCAACAGCTTTTCCTCTTCTTTACCTAATATGTATATGGTAACTTATGTTATAAATATAGCTTTTTTAAATTATTAAATATCGAAACATTAATACAGACAAATCAACTCCAAAAATACATATAAACGAGTGCGTTTAATTTTAATGTCGGAGACAGTTGTATAAGCAGAAATTAACAGCCATAATATGTAAATATTAAAAATACATAAAAAAGTTATAAAAAATTCAGTATACTTATCAGTACATCGTAGAGATACATAGAAATATATTACAAGAGTACAAATTTAAGGTGGCGGTTGGGAAGTTATCACAACCACTTACAAAATGTATTATTATTTGTCATGGAATTTGAGATTATTTTCACAACTATAGGGATAGGGATTGCCGACCGCTGACTCATAAGTACCAAACTCACTGATCAATTCCAATATACAAACTAAAATCATTACAACACATGCAAATTGAAATTGTCCTCACTACTATAAACTTCGTTCGATAGGATTAGTAGTACATTCCATTGTGAAAATATAATTAGTTCACTACCAAAGTACGAATACATTTGGTACAATTTTGTAAATATCACTACTTGACCCACACTGCCTCTCAATAACAAGATCAGTGCAAAAAACTTTTTGTTACTGAGACACCAAAAATAGAAATAAATCGGATTGACAATTATTTCAACTAAATCTGGCAGTTGGAGATTATTGCTGGTAAAATTGGAAGTGTATTTGTTAAGGGGGTACATACGGCGGTGGCTTTCTATACGTCGGGGTTGGTTTTGGGCGTGGTTGTCTTCCGTTATCCTGAGTTCGTGTAAAGGGCGGGGGTGGCTGATATGGCTCTGAGTCGTCCGAGGTCAGCTTTAAAGATCCACTTTTACTATACTCTGGAGGCGCAAGAGGTGGTTTTTCATCTTTCAAAATAATGGGTGTCTTCGTGCCCGGTTCCGGTTTCTCATCCAATTCTTCTTGGAAAATCACAGGAATACCCTTATTACCGTAGCTTTGCCGTCCGTCCTCTTCTAAGTTCATTTTACCTGAACGGCGCCTTCTGTACAAAACACAAGCTGCAATGGCCGCAAGTAGAAGCATTGCCGATATAATTACAGCTGGTACAATGAAAGTCACAAGATAGTCGTCATTACTCTCCTGAGGTGCACCTTCGTTAGTCTCGTGAGGGACGCCTTCATCAATTGGCACTATGCTCTCTGGAATACGAGTTGGCAATGCAGGCGTTGTTGTTATCATTTTGCATATACCAAGATGCTGTATACTGAAGGCAATAACGACAAAATCGCCTTCCATTATCGAGTAGACATGGTTTGACATGCTACGCTCATTATTAATCAAAATAGACTCCAACTTCTTCAGCTCACCCCACGGGCATTCGTCCTTAACTAAAGTCTTATTGTACCAGCTTATAACCGTTGACGGTTTCGTTAGAGAGCTGCCTTTTGCAAAAGAACCCAAGTGTATGTTATTTACGTTATCATCTTTAAATAGGCTCTGCAGTTTCTCCACGAATTTCCTCTTCATATCTGGATTCTTGACAAATGACTCAAACTCTACCTCTACTGTCATACTGAATTCCACATTATATTTTCCTTTTAGAGACGGGTGTACCTCGACAATTAGAGTATCGCTAGCAGTCAATCCCCCAGAATCTTCGCACACCAATTGGTACTGCATGCGTCTGAAATCCGTGGAGCTGGGAACGCCATAGAACTCTTTGTTTTTCACGTCGAACTGTAACCAATGATCACTTGGGAGGGGCTCTCTGTCGGCTGTAAACAGTTGAAGCTTTAAGTTGTTAGGGTCTACATCTTCGGGATCATAAAATGTGTCCTGTAAATCAATATTAATAAATAAACGGCAGCGGTGCATAGGCGGCTTACGTCTGGCACGCGGAAAAGTAGAAGTTCGCCAACAGTTGCATTCACATGGTCTACGGGGTTTCGCAAGATGGGTGGCAAGTTAGAGGGTGATTGTATTGGAACGTGATGCGAGGGAGGATAAACAACGGGGGGCGTTATTGGCATTTCGGGTGGTAGTAATGGCGGTGGGACCTCTTCACATATTTCCATCAGTCGTTGAGTAATTTTTTTGGCCCGCAGTTGTGGTGCAAGGCTATGACTTAACACTGACGACGGGTCGCCATCCTCGTTAGCAGTTAACAACTATCAGAGATATCAGTATAAACGCTCTAAAAAATTAGATTACTTACGTTAAATATTTCTTCTATCTCTGACTTTTCGCAAAACTCCGTGGGTATTGAGTCATTCGTCCACGTAAAAATAATAGGATCGGTCGCGTAGCTTACGCTTCTGACAGTGATTTTAGAAGTATTGGTAGTAGAGAACACGTGACCGATTCCGTTAATTATGTGCAAGGCCCAATCCAAAGGGTGGAAGAAGTCTTCTTTTCTTTCGACTCGGGCGTACAAAGTGAATTCGTGATTGACAGTGCGCCATGATTTGTGCTGCTGTACTGTAATTTCCACTTTTTCGGATACCGAAGCGCCCTCTGTGTCTGTTGCCCTCAGTAGGAAATCCCAACGCGAAACGTCTTCTTCAAGAGGTCTAAAAATCATTTTGCTGTGTTCATTCATTGACAATGTTTTCTTATGTAACTTTGCATGATTAAAGTAATGGTCATAAGTATGCAACACAGACGCATACGTTTTGTGATTAGCCCAAAGAATGATATTAACTATGTAAATAATCACAAATGAGAGCAACCAAAGGTAACCAGTACCCCACTGCCAGCAGTGGTCATGTGGAATCCGACATCACTGGCATTCCCGAACTTCGAAAACAGCGCGACTAGAAATTTTGCGTTGAACGTTGGCACAGAAGCCTAACATGCACTATCAGTGCTCTGCAAACTCCATAGCTAACACACCCGATCGGCAACCCTTACCCGCCTCCGTCATCAAAATAGCAAACAACTCACCATTTCGCTATTATCAGGTTTGACCACCTAACTAAAGTCTCCGACAGTCCCATCAAGGGCCAGGATACCCATCTGAGACCTACCATTAATCAGCTCTTAGGATCTCTTAAGTGGGGTCGTCCATTTCACTAGTGGAACGGCCAGCTGGAAAAAATTTTTTACCTACAGGACGCAATCGCCATTATATGCAACCCTTTTCGAGTTTGATGATTGGGTATAAAAATGTTAAGAAAGAAAGCATCGCAAAAAACGCCGTGACAGAAGGAGTAAAGAAAGAAAATTACATCGAACCGCGAAAAAAAGTCAAAGCAGTTCATAAAGGCGTAACTAGTCATAATGGGCGCGCGAAGGATGCCTGAGAAAGATGTAAAAGACAGAGATGAGCAAGAAAAAGTGTGAAAGCATAAGATGTAAACGAAGTGCTAGAGTGAAGGAATAAAACGTAAATTAAGAGTTACGCGAAAGAAGCAGGCATGAATGAATAGTGAAGGGTGTGAAGTAGTTCGAAGGACGCGGAGAAGAGCAACTAAAGCAAGAGGTCGGTTTGAATAGATCTGAAAGAAAGCGGCAAAACGTAAGATCAATTAACAGAGAATGGAGTAAAGAATAAAGAAAATAAGCGGTAGGAGACATGAAGCAATCGCGAAAGATGCACAAAGAAGGAAGTAAGATGAATTAAGGTAAAGAAGGTTTGAAAGAAGTACGAAAGATATGTTAGGAAGTCTCCAAAAAACTAAACGCGTCGTAGATGTGAAGAAAGCGCAAAGAGGAGAAGAGCCGTGGAGAAATTATTAAGAAGGTGTAAAATAAGCACGCTTGAAAAAAGCGAAAGTAAATGAACGTGGAGGAAAGGATACGTAAACAAGTGCGAATGAAAGAATTTGGAAGGAGGCGTACAGAAGACGAAAAAGTAAAGTATGAAGGATTGAAGAAGGACGAGAAGAGAAGAACGGATGCTGAAGTAGGGAGAAGGCGTGCATAAGCCGTAAAGTAACGTGGCGATAAAGAACTAAAACGTACGAAGGTACAAAGCAGGTGTGAAGAACGTAAGTCTGAAGGAGGATTAATGCGGTCTGAACTTGACTGAACTAAATGCAAAGGTAGGGGAAGAGACCGACAGAGAAATAAGGCGCAATAGAATCAGGTGTTACAAGCTCGTAAAAAGGTATGGAACCAGAAGTCCGGAAGATGCGAATGGAAGCATCAAAAAGATGTCGAGGATATGTTAGACGTGAACGAGGAAGGTAAGTTGAAAAAACGTAAAGAAGTAGTGATAAAGATATGGAACAAAGCGGCAAGAAACAATGACATGCACGTTCATAAAGAAGTAGTGAAGACGCGAAAAAGCCATCAATTTTGAAAAATTACCTACTTAAAACATTGATAATTATACATCCGCGGCCGGTGTGGTTTAGTAGCATAAGAACTAGACCAGAAACTGAGACGACTCGGAGGGTAATAATAGACGGCTATGGGATGTAGCGCTGGCCAAACTACCTCTCCAGAATTCGCTCCAAAGACGACAGGGATAATAACAAGTGGTCCTATCACATGTAGATCCTTACCGCATTACGAAGCATTACAACCACCTAACCCAATGAGATCTAGATAGTCCAAAGAGCCTACACCAGTCACGTTCTTACAACTCGGTACTGTTTGGTCGCATTGAAGCAACTAAATCAAGTGAAAATCCTAACTCAACCAAACTAGTGTCCATTAAAGACGCATATCCTCTTCCCTTCATGAATGATATTCTGGACTAAATACGATATCATATTACCTTTACCAATATTAGGCGACAGACATTTCCTTTTTTTCTATCTAGACTCACACGCTAATGAGTATTCGCAAAACCCACAGACAATACCTTAAACTATATTAGGTATAATTGTTTATACTTACAGTCCATAAATTTCTCGCGTGTTCGGATTAAACTGACACCAAAAGTTCGGATCAATCGGATGCCCTTCCTTAGTCAACAGCTCCAATTTAAGATCATACTCGTCTTCGGTATCCGAGAACATATCCTTCGGTATGTATTGGCTGAAATTCTTCCCGGCGGTGACGGCGATTCGATTCAGTCGAATTTGTATGGTCGGCGGGAAATTCTTCACTTCGTAAACCACACTTTCGGTCACGTGAGGCGAGGTCATTTTTTGCGTGGTCAAAATGGGAATTTGCCTAACTGTGGTGTGTTTGGTTGTCGTTTCTTCCAGTGTGGTTGGTTTTTCAGTCGTTGTCGTTGTTGTGGTTGTGGTAGTTGTAGGAGTTGTTGAAGTGATTTCCGTGGTTATAGTGGTGGTCGTTCTAGGTGTTGTTGTTGTAGTGGATGTTGTTGTGGAAGTTGTTGTAGTAGGCGGTGCAGTTTCTTCAGTTGCAAAGGTCGTGACAGTAGTAGTAGGTAAAATTTCCAGAGTAGTTGTGCGAATTGTAGGAGTAATTTCTGGGAGTATGTTAACATCTTCCACTTTTGCTTTAGTCGTACCTTCAGTAATTGTAGTTTCAGTATCAACTTCTACCTTGGGCAAATCCTGTTTACGCTTTTGATTTGTATGCAGTATATCATTGTGTATAAATGGCAACTCGGTAATCACACCATCGTCGTCATCATCATCGCTACCATCGTCATACTCTTCTTCATCATACTCATCATCAGATTCTAATGTTTCACTTGGTTTGTATAAACCACTAACTGGAGTTACCTTTTCCGTTTTAATTTCTCTGGCGGTTGTAGAAGTAGGAGGCACAGAAGTTGTGGTTACTGTAGTGGTATGTGGTGAGGATATGTGAGTTGTCATCTGAGGTAACAACTGTCTAGACTCAGATTCTGCAACTTTGGGAGTATCTTCCGTAGTCTCAAGACTATTTTGCGTGTCGTCCACAAAAGGAAGGTCTGGAGTTATTTCATCGAATGGTCTAATTTCGCCATGGTGGTGACGATGAGGATGGTTCCCACTAACTGTGCTACTAATAACACTTTGTGCATCAACAGGAGTGTGATCTACAGTTTTCGTGGTAGTGGTAGTTTTCTGTGTTGTGGTACTAGTCGTTGTGGAACTGCTTGTTTTACTGTCTGGATTATCAGGGTCATCATAGTCGTCGTACTCGTAATACTCTTCATAGTCACCACTACCATCGTCTTGCCTTTTTTCTCTTAGAAGTGGCCGAGTTTCAGTCTTAACACGCCACCCGACCAGTGGCAACCTAAGTACTTCGCTAATTGTCCCATCGCGTGCTTGTTGCTTTAACTGGTGCACGATAGACGCTGCGTTCAACCACAGACGACCTTCACAGCCTACTGTCACTTGTATAAAACTACTCTCTTTAGACACTCGGGAGCGTAAGTCACCAGGACCGGCCAACACAACTGAGCTATCCGATATATCGTCAGGACTCAACTGTGGTTTCAATACGAAGGCAGTCTAAGAAAAACGAAATTATTACCACAGTTAAGTAATTAGCAGAACACTTACGTATGGCATGCCAAAAAATTTGGCAATGTTATTAATAGCAATAATTCTCTGCTTGGGTTTGATTGCTTTAGTGGATTTGTCGATTATTAACGTTAAAACAGTGCTGTCCTCTGTCGCGGGACATCTGTCGATGCCTTCCGGAGGACCGTTATATTCACTAATTATTAATGTAAATTCATCATCCGTACTCAAGGATTGTCGCACAGCCTTTACTGATATGTGTAGTGTACCAACGTCGTCTTGCAAAGGAACACCCCAAAATACTCCACCAGTCTTATCAAATAGCAACCATGACGGAAGAGGAGCACCGTTATCGATTTTGGCCTAAAACGAAAGAAAAATGGCATTACACTCATTTTAAATTCATACATTTGATGGCTAATTAAAAATGAGTATGGTTTTCATTGTAATTATTAGTGACTTCCTCGCAAATGTTTTGAATAACAGAAATCCGTTTTTATTTTATTGGAATGTATGTACATTTTCCGTGTGTGAATTGTTTCTTGGGCTAATTAACCGAATCGTTTATAACCTCAGAATAGTTTTTTCTGTCATGGCATACCGCCATAGGCACCCACAGAGGGCTGTCAGGAGGCGTGAGAGAACATCCCCCCCCCCCCCCCATCTTGATGGTTATAAATGTTTTGGATTCTACATGCCAAATTTTATTAAAAGTCGTCTCTTACTGGTAAATCTACGATAATTCTGTTCTTATTAAATTAAAAAAAAGTAATAAAAAATTCGAACAAGTTTTGACACATGTGACCGGAAACCGACGCCATTTTTGTTCTGGAAAAGTCCCCCTGTTACGCTTTGTAGAAGCATTGTACGTACGACCCATTCCTTTATTCTCCTCTGCACCGGTTGCTACAATGTCATTTAAACTGAATCCTCAACAACAAAGGTCGCTTTTTTAAAATTTAATTTTTAACTCTTTTTTATGTAAGATATAATTTGAGAGCATTTAATTGGTTTTTAGTGCACTTGAAAGTCTTTAAAGGACGTTAAGAGTCGCAAACAATCTTCAAGAACGTCAAAGAGTCTTCCCAACGCTTTTAGAGTCATTGATAGTGTCTCCTCGCTTTGAGAGCGGAGCTTTTGTGAGTCTTTCAGGACTAGAAGCCTTAGAAGGTCCAGTAATTAAGATCCTTCAGAGTGTTCAAAAACATTTAAGAACCCACTACTTTTAATTTTTGAAGCTCTTTTTAGAACCTTGAAGAGTATTTTGAAATCATTCTTAACTTGAACTTCCAAAGGCGACTCGACAGTCACTCATTTTTGATCACCCGATATGTTTCTTTGCGAATGAGGTTTTCTACCTACACCGCAGATTAAGTTAAATTAACGCCATCACATCTGAACACACAGCATTCCATATTTCTTACTGACTATCAAAATAAAAATAAAATACAAATACATGAACTCCCGAGTGAACTCCCCTCAGCCATGCGCCAGTATTGGCTCTTTTTATAAAAGTAATAAAAGCATTTTAAAACCCTAAGGCAAACCTGGTAGAGGGAAACTAACTTTTCCAATTAACAAATTCGGCGCAATAATTTGCATTATATACCTATTGGCATAAAATTTTATGGAAATAAATTAAAAGCAAAATTATAAATTGGGAAATTTAGCACCCATTTGTTATAATTACAATGGAACATTTATATCCCAAATGATCTTTTAAAATTATTTGAACAGATGTCCAAACAGTCACCCCGATGCCTAATTTATTTACATTACATTATACAACAGAAGTCATTCTGCACTTAACTATCATCGAAACTGCTGAAACTCAATACCATTTTATTCAAACAAGCCGTCGAACGAATTTTGCATTTTAAATGAGATTCAATATTTAATGAATTTTAATTAATGGGTACGCGAAATGCACGTTGTAATTCGATCAAACATTCAAATGTTAACGAGTTTAATTCTACTAGTTATACTAATTTAAAGCTTGCCGAGTCAGCCGAATTACAGCGCGACAGCAAAATTGATCCCTTCCTACTGGAAGCTTTGCTTAAAGTACGAGAAGTAGAATCAGAAAAGTCTATGATGATGGTTTGAAACAGATTAATGTTGGAAATGTACACCCTACGTAGATATATAAATAAAAAGTAATTGTTGTACTAGACTAATCCCCCACGGTCTAAGTAATTAAAAACTGTTTTGTTCTTATTAAAGTTAGTTCACTTTATGGCATAATTGATTATATTATCTGGTTCGTATTACATAGTTAAAATGGACACTGAAATTGTGACATATAACATCTGGTGGCCAAATGCATATTTAATTTCATACTTGATTACTTTAGTGCAATAATCACATCCCGCCCTCCAGATCAAAAGAAATCTTGATATACAGCACCCGTATTTACTGAACAATTAAGTAACTACTTATCTATACTTTCCAAGGAATTTCCACGTGAAACTGTCACCACTGTTCACAACAATTAGGGACGACCAAATCGATGGCCCACTAACCTTCAAGATGTTGCATAAGAGTCGCCTCAACCATTGTAATTTAGTCCATGCAAAATAAAAAGCATTACTTTATAATTTGTTTATTCCCCCCGCCCTTACCATTAAATGCACGCAAGCAGTTTTATTTGGGAATGAATAGTGTCGTTAATCACGCAATTTTTCACCTAAAATCCTACCTAACCGCATTCTGAGTAGAGATCCGTAGCAGGATAATAGAAATTATGCTGCGTGATTGCTTTCCGGACAATTTGCCGCACAGCGTTGATCGATTGGTTGAAAATGTATTTCCAATCACCGAATGCAAGTGTAAGTAATAGAAAACCGCAACAATTTCAGTTACATCGATCGCCAATTCTAATAGATATCTCAACAGAACAATCTGAAAGGTGTAAATTTGAAGAAAGAGATTCGGGAAAAGCATCTCTTTATCAAACCACCAGTACTAATTTTTAGGAAGGGTCGTTTCGATATCAGGTTAATCGTAAATTGGTGCTTTTCGTACCCCCTCTCGGAAATAATGTCGCCCTTTCTTTTATATCGATTTTACATAATATTCTATCCGTTTGTGTTAATGTTGATAACTAAAAAAAACCATCGTTTCGAAAGTAAAAAAGTAAGGTACCTACCTACAACCTATAATTTCTTTTTATTCATCGAAGTTTACCTACTAATTTAATTGAAAGGAATTGGAGGTATGGCCGGTAGTAAAAGGATGGATTCCATTTGTTAATTTCAGAAATGAGCGAGAAGGATCGGAAAAAGTCGTTGAGAAGACGAACAAGACGAAAAAGTGTGCATTTTGGATAATTGCCGTCATTCTTGGTGGATGTGCGAAGTTTGTTATGTAGAAGAGAGAATTCAAAGGATCGGTCGGTCGGAGGCAGAGGCAGTAGACGCCTTTACTTTAAATTAGTCGTCAAATTTCTTTTGTTTTCCCTCCTTTTTCTCCAGTACTTAGAGAGCTGCAAAAAATTATACAGGACAAGGCAACGGGGATCCTGGTAGCCTTTTTTGGCAAGCTCGGCCCTGGTACCCACTCTTTTTAAAACTTACGCGTAATCTTTTGCTCCTTCCGGCTGATACCACCACCCATTATTAGCAAATCTTATCCTGGTAGTCGCGAAGTTGTCAGGGAGGCCTTCCGACGAAAAGGAATGCCGGACAGTGCTTTAGACACAATGTCCAGTTCTTTACCTGATTCCACAATTAACGAGTTGGATCCTTCAACTCCCACAGAGCAATTTTAACCTTAACCACTTCAGGGGACATCCTAACCTCAAAAGGTTTTTGAAGGGGAATCTCTAGAATTATACCACAAAAGCCTGGATCTAACGCTACATGGGATGCCAAACCCATGCTAAGGTTTTTGGTACCCCTGATGACAACCACTATCTCAAAAACTTACTTACTTTGCTGGCCTTGGAAACAGACCAAAGAATCCAAATCTTATCGTTGATAAAGTGTAAGAATATTAAGTTCCTAGACTCGGACGTAAAAATCCTAATTCCAGACCAAATAAAAACCTCGGGACCTAGACGGAAACAAGCCTGCTTGAATTTACCCTTATCTGAAAAAAATCCAAGACTGTGTGTATCTAGCTTAATTAAGTGATCGACCCTATAAGACCCTCGGACTGCGACAACGCGTTCTTGACCTACAAAAAACCACATGGGCGAGCGAACAAACAGTCGCTAAGTCGTTGGGTGAAAGTAACACAAGCAAGGCAAGCGGTGGACTTGACTCTGTTTTGTGCCCACTGTACTTAGGGAAGTACCTCCACCTCTGCAGCCTTAACCAATAGCATGTCACTGCTCACTGGACACCATTAGGCAGTCAACGTGCTGGACCGAACATACAAAATGATATATTGCGTTATGCGGGTAAATTCGGAATGAGATAAATGAAGCGGGTCATTGTAATTAAAATAAGAGCAAGGAGATTCGAGTTAAATAAGTCTATCGAAACCGAATGTCAAAAGACGAAGATATTCGCAGCGTTTCCAAGATAGAAAACTAGAAATCTGAAAATATCCACTGGCGAGGATTCTATAGCCGGTCCGTGCAGAGTACCGCGAGAAGGAGGTCCAATTTTATTCCGATTGAAAGTCGTGGCCAGAGCGCATTTAGAACTCCTGGTGCTCGAGCAATAAAGGTATTTATGAACAAATGTTCTATCGCGCTGTAGTATTTCCGCTTTCCGTCGTCTTACCGTTATAGTTGTTACTGTTTGCATCGATATATATCGATGTATATATTTGAACTAACGTCGTAGTGCAATTGATTTAATTACAAATTATTGAAGAGCGCTATTGTAAAGGCAATTTAACCAACAACTTGTAATTTTGAATCAAGTTGGTGTTGGTTGCGACACCGAGTCGCAATAAAATTTAGGCTTGCGACAAGGTGTTTATGAAACTACAATTAATTTCCTTTTAGCACCTAACGGTCACTCATTATACATGTTCAGTTTATTTCAATTATAAATAAAGTTGAATATTTCCTATCAATGCGAAGTGTGTTTTTGCGGTTGAATGCCTGTTCACCATTTTCTTTACAGGATTGTAAGTTTCGGCGCAAACCCATGTATTCTATTGGATCGCATAGCGCATTTTTAGGGTTGCGAATACTCGTTTTAAACTTTTCCGCAAGAAGAATAACAATATACATATCTAGAAAAGTAAAAGGAGTAAGAAATATCAATATTACAATGGGCAGGGGATTAAGACAATTACACTGCAGTTTGCCTTGCATGCACGCATCGCAAGGATAATTGTCCGAGGAACTTGAGCGCGTAACACTTCCTCTATTTACGGTAAGTACATATTATCTTTACTTACACGCTGCTTCGTCCCATTGTAATTTTAATTGTTCCTTAGCATTTCGTTTGTCCTATTTTCCACTTTACTTCGTTACCCTCCGTTTTCCCTTTCCAACTTACTTAAAAGCAAGCCTGCGCGGAAAGGAGGGAATCGAGAAGGGTGGATTGTACCGCCAGAAAACGATAGAGTTCGTTCGAAATTAAGAAAAGGCACAAGCCACAAACTGGTGTTCGTTCGCATATATATTCGTCGTAATTATTTGAGTTGCAACCCGTCGTTTCGTCGCCTGTCCATCCACCGTAGTGGACAATTGAACCACCAGCGCTCGTCTTTGTCGATACACAAGTAAGTTCCCTTTTATTACTTCGTCCTGTCAACCTCAATTTTGCAGTGAGCCGTTCTTACCGGTCCGCCAAGAAATACAATATTATATAATTCATACTACACATTAATTTTGTCATATAAAGTAATAAATAGTTTGTACGTACATTTCTTTTCAATTTCCTTTTTAGACAAGGCACGAGAAAGATTTCCCTTCATACATACAGTCCACTTAATCGTTTGTTATTAACCCTTTTTACCAGCGCGGAACACACGCTGTACAAACACGAAAGGAAAAAGATACAAATAGACGGACGGTTTAATTTATCAAAACATGCACCAGAGAACTTTAATTTTAACTTTATGAATAATTTTCCAATTTGACTGCGGAATTCCACATTACGTAAAGAGAAAAGTAAAACCAAAAAATATTAATTACAGTTACGTAAGCATTCACATCACGTATTAACTGGGGACACCGAACAATCAACATGCATTCAAAATTCAACAATTAAAACAAAAAATCGATCTTACCTCGTAACTTTTAACGGTATCCCCAAATGAGTCCTTCGGAATAGCGAGATGAAAGACTCTACCGACTTGAGCGTTTATATCGGTTATTCCTCGTAATTTTTTCGGAGTTTCTACGGGAAATTCGACTTCTAAATCATCGGAAACGTCAAACGCAAAATCTTCATCCAATGCAAACGTGTAACAAGTGATCAACACTGCCAGCAGTACTGATAAAGTCGGTTGTGGTAACATGATAAAAGTCGTAGAAGGGTCACGTTGGCATCATCTGCAACAAGGAAAAGTAAAAATAAATAAAACGTCCGTATCACTAATGCTGTAGGGTATAATAATATAAAGTAAATACGGTAGCCTGCGAGTAACAGAAAGCGGGATTGGGCCAGAATACAAAGCATTTACTTATAAAACGTGTGGTGCAGTAGAGGCTCTAATGTGGTTTTTGCTACGTTACCCCTTAAAAGCGCTTCCGTTATGTTATAACATATAGACCATGATGCCTCTCACGCTCGAAAATCTTGGTTTCTCGGTTATAACAGCTTCTCTACCTACTTAAACCTCTAACGACCATTATTTACTAATTGAAGCAACAATTTCGTAATCGATACTTCACACACCCCCCTAGAACAGCATTGCGTATATCGAAGATGGAAATGCCGATTTTAAGTAAACATAAATTCTGTGAACGAAAAGAAATAAAACAATAAATAAAGTGTAGGCCGGCTCTTCTCGATTTCGCTTTTACTCTTCTTCTCTTAAGCTTTTACCGAACAAGAATGAAAAACTGTTCCAAGGAAAAGTCAATTTATCTTATAGGAAATATAAATTGTCTTTTACCGATTCGATGTTTTTAAACCAAAGTAACGGCAAGGATCAGTTGGGGTTGGTTAACTTTCATAAATACTATTTTGTGGTAGATCTCGCAATGATGAGAATTATATAATTCCAGAAAGTGATCCACTATAGTCGTTATAAAACTAGAAATACGAACGAAACGGGAAATGGCATCCGTTTTTCCGCTCGTTGATAATCTGAGGAAAGGATATGTTTGCCCATTTTACACAGTGGTTCAAAATGGTCAAAGTAAACGGCATACGACTTGATGTTGTGAAAACAAACATAATTTTAGTGTATGTTCAATGTTGATGTCCTTGGTGCAAATAAATGTAAGCCATATGGCGCGCAAGTTTGATAAGACGTTTAAATTGAATGAAATCTGCAAGTGTAGCCCTTATTAAATTTTATTATTATCGTTTAAGACTATTGTTTCGCCGTGTTAAAATTGCACAGTGTGATAAATGTGTTCGTCAGGAGAACAATTGATAAGTTCGTGATCGTACGCGTCGTACGACCTATGAAAGTGGAATGTGGAACGCGATAAGCGATTTAATAAAACACCGGGCGAAGAAAGGATGAGAGGATCAGATCATTCCGATTTCATCATCGTAAGTTCACTGTTGAAGATTGAGTTCTTTCGTTGGTGGCAGTCGGCATATGCAGAATGTTTAATCCGAACTGTGTGGCGCAGTGGCGTGAAAGAGCGGCTGCGGTACTAAAGATCCTGGGTTACGGCATGGATATTTGTAAAGATAGGGTTAATATATCGGCTGACGGTACTATAGTCAGATGGGCGAGGCGAGATGTGTATCCTAAATAACACACGTGCACGCAGCATAACCCTGATTTCTGGCCCATAACACCCACCTCTGTCTATAAGTCAACTCTTTGCACAACGCCTTTTGTAACCACCGCTGTTATGCGAAATCTCATACGCCTTTTATCCCTGCTACTGGGATATTTGGATTGCACAAGAGATTTACAAAAACAAACGCTTCCTACTTAAAAACCTGAACGTTCACTAAACTTAATTACGAGGGCAAAACCGTATCCAGCTTCAACATTCAAGAGATGCTCCTTCCCTTTTCAAGGCGTTCGATACAGAAAAGGCAGTCTATACGTAAGAGGTGGTAGATGCGAAAAATGCATCCCACGGAAGATGCGAGAGGTGCCCCTTCCGCTCTCGGGTGTTCAAGGCGTTCGATACGAAAACGATGGCCGATGCGAAACAGACAGCGCATGTAAATGCGAGAGGTGCCCCATTCCTTTTTGGGTATATAAGGTGGTCGACACGAAAAGGGCAAAATGTAATCCTCTCTATGACGTCCTTCTTCTCTAAGGCGTTCAAGTTTAGACTGTGTGCGTTTTCAAAAGTGGCGATATTACAGTGTATCGACATGGAAGTGTCGCTTATTTTGTGTATAAGTCAAAGTAGACCTTAAATTCTATTGTGTATTATACCTATTTTACTACTTTCATTACATTAACTGTTAATATATACGTTAAACGGTTAAACCCATCATATTTCAATTTAGTAGACGAGAAGTTAACATAACCTCTTACTAAAAATTAGGCTGTCAGTTCTGAAAATTGCCAAGTTTTTCAGTTTTGGCAACTTAAGAATTATAAACGATTACGAATTAGGAACGTGAACTTTTTATTGAGATTAGTGGAAAATGTTGGGCTTCTTCCGCAAATTTTTTTGTTAAAAACGCTTAATTAAGGTACTCCCTAACCATTTTTATGAATTTCATGATCGTAGCTCGGGGTCCGTATAACACCATATACTTACCCTTTTTTTCAAACCAAATTCTTGTATCTTTAATATTCCACATAAGACACTGCGGCCTCTTTCGCAAGTACTGGGATTCTCATTTGTCGATCGGACAGCAGTAAATCGAATGGTCTGGTTGCAACGAGATCGAAAAAGTTCAGGTTCTTCATGACGACATGGACTTCAACCTTCACAAGAAAATGAAAAAGACAGTGCTCGCCTACAAGTGACTGTGAGAATTCAGGAATTATAAAATTGCATTTAGACTCCCTGTTCAAAATTTCTGTCTTTAGAACACTAACCTGAACTCAATAACCGGTTAATGTATGTTAATCATACGCTTCACATCATTATATAGTTAGTTTCATTCCACTTTGGTTGCTTAGTTAATTAAATTGGAGGGGTTAAGTGCAAGAGCAGATGTGTGGTCATGTACCCCATCTGAACTGCGCCCCATTGGATTGTGTCAAAATGATGTCTTTTTTTTCCTTCTATTATGTTTTATATATATATTTTATACACTATCCACCAATAAAAGACAATTTATTATTATTATTAATAGAAAGTCGCGCCTGATATTCAGGAAATCGGCGATGAAAACAAAACTATTTGTTAAAAGATTGCAATGCAATGGTTCAAATCCCATGATGTTTTGTAAAAACTGTAGTCTTAAAATTAGAACTTCGAGATGAATGTAACTAATGTCACCCAACTACGACATCGTAGATTGATATAATACTACATCTGTAAAATAACGTTGCACTTATAAATTAGGTACCAAAACTTTCATTCTTAACGGCTCGCTGTCAAAACAGTAGTTCATATAAATCCACTCGAAATGTACTCACTTTGATTTACTCGCTACTTGAGCAACTAATAATAATTTAACATAAATGAAAAATAACTAAAAAATACGCAAAGAAGCACCCATTAATTCAAAAGTAACAGAGATGAAAGTTCAAAACCGCCAACAACTGTCTAAATAAAAGATAGATTTATTATTATAGTGACAGAAGTTGGAAAATGTCTTCTGAAAGCAACTGAATTACAACTACTGGCACTATTCATTTTCGTTTACAGATTACTGTACCTACCTATCGCAAAATGTATAACATCAATTACAAAAATCAAATCAAGTCATTATTCTTGTTTGTTTATTTAATTTATTTTTATTTCTTGAATTGCATGTAGGGGTTTTTGCAATTTCAAACCGAATATTTCTTGAAAATACTTATCTGAAATCGTTTAACCATTTCATTTTTGTAGTGAGTAATTTTATTAATATTCGCCGGAAAAAGACGAACAACCCACGCGAAATATCTCCAACTAACACCATTCTTGATCTCATACATATTTGCTAAAGCCTAATATAAACTATTAGGGTATGTTCAGACAGGACGCTATCACGCTATGGGCGGTTGGATACTTTTTGATGCGAACAAATTTCCTTGCATTTTCTAACAGGTTGCGATGCGATGCAATTAATCACAGGAAATTTCTAGAACCATATTTGCGAAAGTAGTCACATCCCAAGTAGCAAAGAATATTGGCTCACATTTTGGAGTTTTATATAAAAAGCACAATAATCGTGTCAGCGGTTTGTTTTATTTCATTGTAACCCCTACATATTGAAGTATTATCGACATATCCCCATTCTCTAAAAAACACGGTTCAAGTACATTTGCAGCAGGTTCAAATTTACGAAAGAAATCCTCAATGGCCCGGATCTCCCGATGATATAGCGGTACGCGACAACTCGCCAACGAATGATCTTTTTTCCTGTTTAATGACAAAGGCAATATTCAACAGACCACAACAGCACTTTCTCCATGGTGAAAACACTTTTAACGAAAACAATAGGTTCTTCAAATTCTCATACCTATATCTACATCGTCCATGAATATTGGAACAAGAAATTGTTACATGTAAATAGTATTCACTCTTTCGAATTATTTGAACAATAAACTCGACAATCACATCGTTACGATTTATCCTAACGTGTAAACTACCCTTAATCTACGTTAAATAAAATTGGGAAGGCAGACGTTTACTAATCATCGTACAAAATCTGTCGTTATCTCTCGGTCTATACACAGCCGTCTATAATTACAAGCCATGCTGAGAAGTTTGGCAACGTTGTCCGAAAGTCAATTGGTGGGCCGATATGTTTTAATGGCGTCTTGTTGCTCTTGAAAAATTGCATTTTTCCTCTCTCCTGTGTTTCGCCTTGGTGGTTTTAATACAGAAGAAAGATACTTAGGCAGCTTACAATTGTACGTATATTTTATTTATTTAAAAAAATGGATAATAACATTGTTATTTGACGTTAAAATTCGGAACGCTGTAAATTGGTAACTGCATCATAATGTGTTTTCCATCGAGATCTCGAAATTGGTGAACTTCTGTCGAAAGAGGTCGAGGTGAAGCACACGCTTGGGCACTTAATTTTGGCAAAAGGATAGTAAATTGCTGTGCATCAGCGAGGTTTTATCAACGACCAGGTGTGTTTCGGAATGGCAGATTTTAAGCCAGTCGCTACTCCAGTGGATCTAGGTACGAAGCTTTTAAAGAGGGGATCCCCGTAGACTTCAAATTCCCGTACCGTGAACTCCTGGGAATAAGTCGGAAGGTTCCTTCATAAAATCGACTTGACATGTCCGTGCTACAATATCTGAAATACCAGCTAATATAGTTATTTATATAACAAGAGCGCGAAGTTCAATTTCGCGCATTGAGACTGAAGGTATTTTGACGAGGCGAAGCCGAGTTAAAATATCAGTCAAATGCGCGAAATAACTTCGCGCTAGCGTTATAGACAATATTTTTTCTACAACTGAACCGATTATTAATTAAATTGCTGTTTAAGTTCAACTTTGTCCCGTGCGCGAAATACTTTTTTTCACTGTTGACGATTTCGCGCACGTTGTCAAGGGCAACCTTACTTATTAATTAACCGTTTAAAAATCTAGTACTTCGCGCTTCGATATTCGTCAGAAAATGACAGGTTTTTTTGACAGTTGTAGAAAATAGTACATTATATATCAAGGTAGAGAAGTCCACTATTATTGCCTGAGCACCAAGATTACATCTCGAGGCGCTTGCGCCGAGGGGTGTAAGGTGCGAAGGCAATAATAGACTTCTCTACCGTGGTATATATACTATTTTTTTCACTACTAGCACTTGAAATTCTCTAAATTAACATATTATATTGATAAGAGAGTTAACGGTTGGACAGAATTGTTTGTTTCTTAATTTAACATGTCAATCAAGTACGTGGAAGTACAAGTCAAACAGGCCGTATTTTCTGTCATTGAGATTTTTCAAAGAGTAATTTCGTTCGAATTTTTTCAAAATGTGATAATTTTAGGTATGTAATTTCTCTGGAAATTGCGAATGGTGGCAATTATTCGTTTTAGAGAACTTGTCTAATAACGTTCATTGAGCGAAATTTCGGGTTGTGTTTTCTAAAAGTGACAGCATGACAGTTCTCATTATTGACTACTAGTTAATAATAAAAAATTATTAACCACTTTGAACAAATGCCGAGAAAGCCTACTTTACAAGTGGAAAAAAGGTTAATAATCATGTCATCAGACGCTAGTAGTGAAAAAAAATAATTATTGTATTCTTTCACTATAAACACTTACCGTACTTACGTACCACGTAGTGTGTAGGTCATATTTGAGCTTGTACAGGTACTTTGAACAAATACAAGTGCTTGTAAAGGGTCCAGTAAGGAGTAGCTTGCTTTAGAGGTTATGACAACAAATCGATATATTTCGTTTAGCAACTTACCTGAATAATAATTTCTGTTCATTCCGTACGGAGTAACACAAATTATCGCAATCTCGCTCTGTTAAAACAGGTAAAAAGGACTATTACACCCAAAACACATATAAAATACACCCAAAATCTGTCAACTTGAATTAGGAAATCGGCCTACCATGCAGTGTTGCCATAATTCTCAGCACGGCTTGTAATTATAGACGGTTGTGGTCTATAACAGTTAATGCATTTGTATGACACATTAAAAATTATCTCTTTGTCGAGTTGTCCATTGGCGAGTTGTCACGTTGGTGAGTCAGTGACGAGATGTCGCGTTAGTGAGTTGTCGTAGTGGCGAATTGTCACAGTGGCGGGTAGTCGTATTGGCGAGTCAGTCAGTGGCGAGTCTGTCCCTGATATAGGTCACTCACAATACACCGTTAATGATCCCTAAAAAACAAGTCGAATCGCCGCCACTGTAAAAAAATTCAATTGACTTCAGCCATACGCTTCTTCGTGACGTCAGACCGGCAAACATTCAGCTTTATATTGCAAAGTTCTCAATATAATTGAATTCGTCCACTGTAATTCTTGAATACGCACATTTTTCAGAATCCGCCATCAACTTCACTAACAGGTTATAAAATTCACCAAACACTGTTGGCTTCATATTGATACTTACCAATTTACGTTTTTGTCTGGTTAATTTGGATACTACCACATATTCTAATAGAGAACTTTCCGCTAGTAAGTGCCTTCGAAGTTTCGTACACAGAACAGAAGTTAGCATGCGACTATTTTCTAAATATCGCCCTAGAAATTGCATCGGAAAGTATCTCATGGCCCATCGCGCGATAGTGCCCTGTCTGAACGTAGCCTTAATAAACACATGCATTCAAGTTCAGACGTTGCCGAACGATAACCGCTGTGTAACGACATCGTTACGCGTTAGATTAAGCTGGTGAATCAATAATAATAAATTGTTGGCATGTTTGTCTTGTATTTAGTGAGTTCCAATGCAAGAAATTCGGGGCTCTTGTTCAAGGGCCAAAATATACTAGAGTTAAATGCAGAAAATACGCAAATGTACTGTACTACAAAGTAAAGTAGTACAAGAATCATCTTGTTCTCTTTAATGATTCTTCGCTTGTCCGAATATTCACATTTCATCTCAAATGGAATATCAAGATCTATTTTATATTCTACAACCATCACATACAGATCACCGATAGAATAGTAACAAAACAAATACTACAATTTTTTTTATTGTTATAGAAGTACCGCACTTTCACGAAATTTGCCTACTGTAAAACATTGTAGTGACAACACACGCAATGGAAATTATTTCATAGGTAAGCTTAAGACCGGAATACGGGATTTCAATTCAGCCCCATTGCGATCTTCAAGCTCTTCCTCTCCATTCTCGTCTTCGAAATTAAAAGAGGATTCAGTTCGGTCGATATCGTCTTCATCTAAAAATTGCAAATCGGTCAAGTTAAATTCATTCCATTTGGCGTTCATTTTGTGTTCCATCTGTATAAAGCCCTTACTGACTGCCATTCGCAGTTTGAAAAATTGTTTATTAATAAAGTCGTTTAGTCGATCGAACGTGTCCGCCGTAAAGTCGACGAGTTCGTTTTTCATTTGCGCGACATCGTTGGCGTGATCTATGTTCCCCTGCGAGGAAGATTTTTGAATTTGTTTCACCCAGCTGGAAACCATGTTTCGTTTGAAGCTGGTGCCAAGAAGTCGAATGTTTTCGGGATTTTCCTGGTGTAAGTTTGTACATCCTGATTGTCTATTTACGTTTACGGGTACGTTGGTATTGGGGAAACGTAGTTCGGGCTGAACATTACAACTATCGTGACTGTCGCACATAACAGGACCACAATCACCGGATGCAGGCGTTTGGGATATCGTTCCGGAGTACTGCTCGGCAAACAAACACGAATCGCCCTTTTTGAGTGGTCTAATAACATCACCAATAATAGGTGAATGGTCATCACGTTTGCTTGGACCGTTGTAATATACAGTAGTAACGCTCCCTGCGCCAGAAGAGTCGTCCATCAAATCCGATTGTGTTTGGAAGGCGATTCGTGATACTTTCTTGGGGTGGTGTGTTACGATGGTATTAAAAGGGTAGGTAATTTTTCTTCGATCGTAACAGAACAATTTACCATCGGATGAGGCGGCTGCAATTTGATCTCCTGTAGGAAAGAAGCCCACGGAGGTCAGTTCAGTGTCGCTGATGCAAGAAAATATAACAGATTTCGTTCTCAAATCATAACCGTTCAGCTTATGGTCTAGACCGACCGTCACCATATCATCTCCAAGGGAAAATGCTAAATCCGTAATCGAATTGATGTGAGATTTATCAACGATTTCAGCGTTGCCAGTGATAGAGTCCCATACAACGACAATACCATCGCTTCCTGCTGCTGCCAAAAGATTTGCTTGCTTCCGGTGGTATGCCATTGCCGTAAGATTGTTACTGTCCGGCACGTAGTAAGTTGATGAAATAGTGTAGTTAGAGTTATACAGGTATATCTGACCATTTGTACAACCTGCCGCCAAACAAGAGTCCATTGCGCCGTACTCTAAGAACATCACCGCCGAGGGTAAGGGATGCAACTGTTGGAGTACTGCTTGCTGTTGCAGGTCATACAGTGCGATTTTTCCTTTGCCATTGCCCAGAGTGATGTAATTTTGAACTGTTCTTGAAAATGATAGCGCTTGAATTTCGTCCATTTCAATCACCATGTACGTTTGTATCGTTTTCCCTACATGCATAATTAACGGACACCCCATCGACGGCACGGTCGTCGCTAACAGTTCACCCTCGCAGCACCAGGAGAGGCTCGGTTTATAAGAACCAGATTCCGGAAATTGAAACGAGCTGTGATAATGTCCTGAGGGCCATTTATGAAATTTAATATCTGTTCCGCAAGACGCCAATAACATCGCAATTAATTTTTCTCGTTTTTTTCGAAATACGTGCAATTTGAGTGGAATTGAGAGTTTCGTGTCAAGTTTGACAGCAGAGAACACGATAAATGTTTGCGCAAATAATATGGAAGACGCGTGAATACTTGGCTTAAAAGCACACTTGTCCGGATGGAATCGGCCTGGACCGATCGGCAAAAATGCCGTACCTGGGTACTGCATGTGCGTACTTATCCGCAAACGGCGCAAATGGATTTTCAATACCGATCTGCCGTCTATTCCGAACCGATTCTGTCCGATCCGGGCCGTTTCCGTTCGGACAAGTGTGCGCAGTTACGTATAAAACTATTATGATTCTTGGCTATCTTGAAGCCTATTTTTGGAGCCTTACTGGATTCTTCTTCCTCCTTATCTCAATAGTTTCCAAGAAAGTGACTCTCCTCTGCAGAAACTTGAGAAATTCATCGAGTATTACAAACTTGTCTTCATCTGTGTAGATTCCTTTAGAGTGTTATTCTCAAGTTTTTGCTGATGATGTTTATAAGGATAGAATGTGTAGGCTGCTTCAGGGACTGGAGCGCGCGGACGTTCCCTTCAACCGTGTAGATTAAGCGTCTGATGTCGTCACATGTACCCTTGATCATATGATTGCTCAGAAGTACGCGCTTGTTATTGTAACGAGCCATTAGATGTTCCGACGCTACATGGTAATTATCCACAGTGAGCTTCGTTGTTCACTGTTTCACGACAGTGACAGTTATAATGCAATTGTCATAAATTACAGAAGACGAAAGGCTATCTTTGTTCAATTGCAGGTAGGGCTTAATAAAGACCGCACAGATATTTTATCGTGTATTTGTTTAAATTGTCATACCTATTTCAACTCATGAATATGAATTTCGTTGTATTATACCTATATGACAATTTTGTTTGTGTCTGTTCGTGTATTTGGGTGCGTTATGTCAGATTTTTTGTCCAAAGAAGGTTTTTTCCTGTCGCCTTGTCGTGTGTGTAATATCTTTCATTTGTTCTGGTCTTTTCTTACGCAGAAAAACTGTTGGTTTAATTCAATTCCCTTCCCCGATTGTCACAACATAGAAATTCTATTCGTACCACCGAGTCCGAGCAGATTGCTACCGAGACTCGAAAGTGCCGCAAAAGTCCGTCATTTCGACATGAAAGTTAGATGGCTCTGCTTTCATTCGTCGAGTTTAAGATAAGCGTTTATCTACGAGCGTTTATGGAATAGTTTTTCCAAAGAGAGTTTTTCCAACATCAAAAGACAATACTAGGTATATTGTAATTAAAACGAAGTCAGTGTCATCTAAATCGAGATTCGAGAGCAGTCAAAGAAGTCATGTTTAGCAGCATCATCATCTTTGCACTCGTATTTGATTTATGAGTTAGTGCGAGGCCTACGATACTAATAGAATAATAATAATAAGTATCGTTAGTGCGTCTTTTTGTTGAAAAGCGCGATTATAAACGGGTGATACGAAACTTAACTTTAATTTGTTTAATCGATCGCTTGTTGTGTGGTGTGTTTTATCCGACCCCGTGCGCCTATTTTTTACAGCTTATTTGATTGATTTTAGTCGAATAAATTTGTTTCAGCTGTAAATGGTTAGTTTTATGTTCGATCCCAAATTACGACCTAGATAAGAACTCTCTTGCCAATTTTTCTATTGGCAACCAGGGTTTTTCTAGTTGTTTAATCACAAATTTGTAATATCATTCTTTGGAATTGTGGAGTTGATCAAGGCTGCCAAATTTTCTGAAATTTGATAAAGTTAATAAGGCATTATCAGAATTTTTCGTAGGGGCGGATAAACTATCTAATTTATTGATAATGTATGATTAACTTGGGACGGTACAAACCACGAAATAAAAAGCTTCTGTTACACTTACTAAAAAAAAGATGGTGAACGGTTAAACGTACTGCGCAAATCAAATTGATTTGCTCACTTAATAATTGGTAGTATGTAATTTCCATTCAATTAGTCAAATCAGTTTTGAAAGGTATATTGATACGAGCAAATTAACAAAAAAATACCTCTGCAAATCACATTATGTAATTACGTACCCTTTGTCACAGTTTTAATAATCCATAAGTAGATTACTTTATTCCTCTAAATAATTAAAGTATATTATCGTTCATTAGATGAATGTCGCGTTAATAATTGAAGATACTACATCAGGCGTTAGATGTTAGGCAATTATTCTATTAGCAGCTAATTAATCATAACGATCGATCTTAAAATTAAAAGCCACATCGTCTCCTATCTTTATGAAGCACGAAGTGAAAAGCAATTAGTACGTTTTTTTCCGTCTATAATGGAGTAGGTCAAACCGTAAAATCGCGGTTAATGGGAGTTCAAATGCTATAATAATAAATCACCAGTCAAATTTTAGATATTGACTACATTAGAGGCAGCGCCCCCAGTATCAATGGAAAAAGTTTACCCATTAGTTTTAGCAAAGATCATATACAGGGTGTTTTTTTTAAGATGGGCCATACGACAATCTAAAGGGGTTGAGTTATTTAAAATGGGCCATAGGGAAATTTACATTGCATCAATTGTTTCAGTCATAGCTTCCTCGCGAATCATCTTGCACAGTACTGTAGAAATTGTTTCTAAATCAATGCCCGATACTCGGCACTGAATAGCTCGCATTACTACGCAGCTACTGTGCCCACTCTTGTACAAATTTGTACGGCGGAATACATGTTCCTGCTTCGTTGATGCAGTTTGAAGGATCAGATTGAGAACTGTCAGTGAAATAAATAAGCGCAAAGCCAAGATTTGAGAACAATTGGCGCAATGTAAATTTCCCTATGGCTCATTTTAAATAGCTCAACGCCTTTACATTGTCACACACAAAAATCAGGAAAAATAATGCATCCGAGTTCAAACATGCTTTGCTAAAACAACTTTCCTCAGATGAGGACTCCTAACACTCTTATTGACTTGTAATCAGATTCACAAGACGAAATCAACCTTTTTAAGGCATTCAAAATTCACAGCGAATGTCTGAATCAGATCAAAAGAGTACATTCATTCTTAAATATAACAAGGTAGGATTTCACGGACTTGCAATGGGATCCATGGTGTGAAATAAACACTTAATGCATTTAAAAATCCTCGAATTAGCGCTACATTCGCTATCATTCCCTATCACCGGGGACTAATACTTTATTGACTTGATGGCGCCTTGATATCTCCCTAAAACCCTCAAATGCGAATATACCTACATATAGTGATATTTGTATAGAAGACATAAATAACAAAATAACTTCTGAAAAGAACCTAATTTTATGCAACCAAAATAACTTCTTAAAACAAATAAAGATAATAATAATAATAATAATAATAATAATAATAATAATAATGACCTTTATTCACATATTATATACAAAAGTAACAACACAAAAATGAAAAATAAGGCATAACGATATATCAAATATATAATACTGAAAGGGTGAAGTTCAGACTAATTGGTCTGCTCTTCCACTTTACCCCAATATACACTTCATTTTTTTATGGCGAAATGAGTGATGTTTCTCTTAAATAAAACGGTATACCTGCGTTTGTTAAAAAAAAGTGAAAATGAAACTAATAATAATGTAGAAACACAATAAAAAAAAAAAACTTAAAGTGTTAAAAGAACTGGTTAACATTGGATTTGACTTCTATAAAGTAAAAGTCGCGTTTGTGTTTTAAAAGGCTTCAAGGAAAGATTTTTGATAAAAGCTGGCAACGAGTTGTATTGTTTTGCAATTTGATAAGAAAAACACCCTTCGAAAAGATGATACCTATGAGCTGGAATAGTCATAAGTCCTTTGTTACGTAAATTGAGATGGTGTACGTCTGTACGGAAAGTAATTTTATTATAAAGATACTGTGGTTTATGAGTTAAAACGATTTGATGACACATATACAAAAAGTGAAGGGAACGGCGATTTTCCATATTCAACCACTTTATTTCAGACATCTTATGGGAGACATGATCAAATTTTCTCAAGCCGAAAATGAACCGTAGACAAGGGCCCGTATGAATAAAAGGAAGCAAATGCTTATACTTGCAAAATTCAAAGTAAATACTGGTAACTGCCCCTTCATACTGGTTTGTTTAGCATGGTTTAGCAGCGCTGCACTGCGTCCTGTCCTGCTGCTCAGCAGCGCTGCTAAGTCACCCAGTGTGAAGGAGTACTTACGAGTATTTACTTTGAATTTTGCAAGTATAAGCATTTGCTTCCTTTTATTCATATGGGCCAAGAATTTTGCACTCGTTGTAGTCTTTTCCTGCTGGTTCCATCCAAGCAAGGTCCATATACACAATCTGCATAATTAAAATGAGATAGAACTAGCACATTCATTAGTTTTACTTTGGTATCAAAGTTAAACTTGTATCTGTGGATATACAAAGATTTTAGACTGCTGAAAGCGCGCTGAATGCATAGATTTATGTGAGTTTTAAAACGAAGATCGCTATCCATGATCTGGCTGTAATATTAATAATTAATTTGGATATTGTTGCGTTGACTTCCGTTTTTAGCGCATTTCCACAAAAATAAAAAAAAATGCGCTATTGTGGCCACTTTGTCCGTCCGTCCGTCCGTCCGCTCGTTTTGCGGCGAGCTATTGTTCTACTTTTTTCGCTATTTGGTTCGTTATGGTGTCGAGTCTTGTACCAAGGAAGGAATTTTTTCTGTACCGCTTACAAAAAAAGTTATTGTAAAAAAAACAAAAAACCGTTTTTACATGTTCCATAATTTTACACTTTTGCCGTTTATTAACGATCCTAGAGATCGTTTATAATTTTGCATTGCTATCTGTCGCCTGCCTGTTGGTCTGTCCGTCTGTTCCTTTGTCTGTCTGTCCATCTATCTGTCCGTGTGAACGATAACTTTGTTTAGAAATATTCGATCACTTTTACATCCCCGTTAGTTATGAACTGAATTGCATGAAATTCAATATGGGCATAGCTTTAGCCATATAATACGCAACGCCAAAAGTTGACTCGAATCGATTCAAAATTCACAGTGCCCTTTTCACATCGACCATTTATAAACCGAATTGCAAAATTTTTTACTTATAA